AGCACTGTGTCGGTACAGTCCTGCTTCATTGTGGTAAATGATAGATGTATGTATATGTACTCCAAAACTACACCCTCCGCCGATGCATCTATCTGTCCGTCGGTCTGTCTGTCTGTCTGTCTACATGCACATACTCATCTAACACTCTCATATACTCAGGCAACGCGGTTTGTTTGCTGTTTACTATCTACGGGTGCAACTTCGCATACAAAGACGAGCGCATGCTCATGTGTGATACATGAAGATGTACTGGCATCTGCAACTGCATGTGTGCCTGATGTGTTGTGTTGACATTGTTGCTTGCATTGCTGTACTGCATGTGTTATCACGTTTATGGTTTGTGGGCGCGAGTGCACTGTGCCCTGAGTTACTTACTTCCAAGCGTGCGGTAACCAACGGCAAAGTATAAAAGTATAGCCAAACACTAAAGGATACGAAGAAATCAGTCGGAATACATCGTGCCTTTGCCGTGGCGAAATCCATCCGTGGATGTAGGATTCTGGGCTTAGGGTTTGAGGCTTACCGCGATACCGGGAAACAATCAAACCAATCATTCTGTCTCATGGAGTCATGAACTAGAGAGGAGGAGACCGCGGACCGCTAAACCAGTAAGTCATTCAACTAGAATGTTCTGTTTAGAAAGGAAGCGGACTAGAGCAAACTATTGACCCACGCGCATTGGCCTAGTATGTGAAGAAAAGGGGCTAAACATTCAAGCTGGCCTTCGCAGCAAAAGAGGGTTCTGACCAACAAGCCAACATACCATCAAACCAGATCCAACACGGCCGCAGTATGAAACTAGCCGAACCGCTGAACCATTACACCCCTTAGAAAATCAACCCCAACGAGCCATCAAACTAACCTTATGAGAAAATACTCGGGCTCAAATCGTTAAAGCAATCCGTACCGCCTATGAAACTAAACGAACCACTAAACCACTACAACAATCGTTTTCCCTCTAAGCGATTCAATTCATCGGTTTCGCTTTGTGGACATAGAAAACCACTGCGCCATTGGACCGTCAATCCAATCGACTTTCCTGTGGAACAAGGCGAACCGTGAAACCACAACCTAAGCATTTTCCCCAGAGGACCAGGGTGGGTGTGTAGGAGGTAGCATACATCCCGAGGACATGGATGCAAAAAAAGCACAGAGCGTGAAGATATGTGGATTAGGGCTACATCTGCATGCAGAAACATTTTGCATGCGCAATGTTTCATTCGGGGCCGTGCTTCACTTGAGCACTTGAGCCATGTGCTGAGGCTAGTGCGAAAGGTCGCGTCGCACATCGTGATCCCGAACGGTACCACGTCGGATTCATGACCTGGCTCGGCTATAGGTCAGAGTATGAGAGGCATTGGGACGAGTGGCATAAGTATTTAGTAGTAAGACTGGTTGTTTGTCGCCATTCCCTAGTATGTCCGACCATTTTCCATGATCGGGTTGTGACCGAGGACCTCTCCTCAACATCTGTATCACGGCCTTGGCAGAAGGCAGACGATGGGAAGGCTCAGAATGCTGGGTGCTTGTTGCTGCCGTGGGCATCCGAGTGCTCCAGTGGTGTTTTGGGTGTCTGCCACCATCCAGCCACGTGCTCCTTCATAGAAGAGCATGTTGAGTGGAGAACAGGTATGCGTACAGACACACACACACACACACATCCCCTCTGCGGGTCGCCTGCATGCAAGAAATAAGCTTGCATTCTTAGATGCGCGTGTACAAGTATGTACGATAAGTGAGCGCACGAATGCGTAAACGAAATCGCGAAAGAACAAAAGCACATAAATTAATGAACGAACGAGGGCGCATGAGCAGGAATCACCACAAAGCGCACATGTGTGTGTGTGTGTCTTTGTGTGTTTGTGTGAGTTTGTGGTGTGTGTGTGTGCGTTTGTAAGAACTCAACTTCTGAAAAATGTGCTCCGAAGTTTATCCTCGCCTCAGCTAGCCTTCAGTTCAAAGCTTGGGAGAAGCCTTCACGCAAAGAACTCTTGGTATCCACCTGTTTCGGGATGGACGGCATGAGTGAAGTTCTGCCCCACGCTGATGCGTACGAATACTTGTCCGCTCAGCTGCGCTGGCGCTCCTTCCCGACAGCCCTGTCCGGAGCCCGGTGCCGAAGTGTCTTCGGGGATTTGGCTGGAACTGGGAAAGCCATGCTCGTGCACCTGACAAGGGGCTGCGACTGCTGGAATCTGATAACTGACTGGATCTCTACACCAAGGATGTGGTAGCGTTGAGCAGTTGCATGGCAGCTTTGGAAGGCCCGAGTTGGCAAGATTGAAGTCTATCATCTACAGAGCCTGCGGCCAGGCTGTGCGGAGGCGTGGCAGAAGGCAGTTGCTTTGCTACAGCGCTGTGGCAGCGATGCCGACGCTTGCCACACTTGGGTGCAGTTTAGTGCCATGAGGGTACTATGAGGGTGCAGTTATAACATCGCCCCAGGACTATCGAGTGGTCGCAGGCAGGTAGAGGCCCAGCCAAGGCTGCTACGGCAGATCATCATGATGCTGTTGTAGCGTTGAGCTCCTAGAAAATCATATAAGTCCTTTGAGCACCCGTCGCAGCTGCCAGCGACACACACACACACACACAGAGACAACCCAGGATGATGTCGCCTTCGGTGCCTGCAGCCTGCTCAGACATCGGCCGTCAGAGCGCATCACAGACCCTTCGGATAAATGGTGTAGTTGCGGTCTTGATACCTTGTCTGAGCTAGCCACCAACTCCATGACGAATGCAAAGGAGATACGATCCAACCTGCAGAGTTCCTCCAGCAAACAACTAGCCTGAAAGTTGAATGGAGCCGAGTAAAGTCAGTGGCTGTGGCATATGCATTGAACGGCAGAAGCATTGAACAGATCTTGCGTCATGCGTTTCAATAGAGCTTCAGGCATGAGCGCTTGCGGGCAGGAGCTGCAGTGGCAATTGGTCCTGAGCCTTCAGCAGGAGTTGATGCGGGCTGCACACCTCGAAAGAGATTACTATGCATTGGGATTCTAGTCGCGAATTCTGAGGTTCAATTGTCAGGCATGTGCCAGTCACTTCACCTCGCTGTTTCCTGCACCGAACGCAAAGATGATCAGAATGCCTGAGTCAAAGCACAACAGCACGCAAGAGACCACTTTCGAGACAGCCAATCTGCCTTCGACCAAGTCTTGCCATCCAAGCCGCGAGGAGATGCAGCGCATGGCTTTGCAACCAAATGCAGTGACCTGGACCGCCCCCCGAATGCTTCGATTTGTCTGAAATTATTGCGTGGGTTGAAGTGTCCCAGACACGGCAGGAGCTGCCTCGCCTCTGCATGCACAGCAGCACAGGCCGTACGATGATGATTTTCCTCCGGAGTGCCTAGGGCTGTGCTTCAATGAAGGCCTGGGCCGAGGCACTTGCAGTGGCCACCGACCTGAGGCAGCATGCGCAGGCTCTGAATCGGAGTCCGATCGTCTGCTGTGACGCCGTGATCTCCTGCGGACAGGAGCCTCAGCCTGCGACAACGAGCGCGGCCGCAGCAGCTTTTGCGGTGCAAAGGCGGGTCTACCAGGGCCCCCTGCCCGGCAATGTCCTGGCTGCCTGTAGCTTTGCTCGATTTGAAGACTCGGATATTTGCGAATGCGAGGCGCTGGAGACCTGCCATGCAGCTATTGCAGGCCAGCTGGGGAGTCTTGTCACTCTGTCGCTCTGAACAGACCTGACCGTCCGGAGGATTCCATGGTGGCTTCATTGCAGTTGCACATTGTTCCTTGGCCTCCAATCCTTTCCGGGCATCAGCTTTGCCAGCTTGGAGGTGAAAGCGAATACGTTAGAAGCAATGTGCGAGACGTGTTAATGTATTAATGAGGTCACATGCAACAGCCTTTTGGGGACCCTTCTGTGTGGTGGTGCGGTGCTCCCGGCGCTGAAGCTGACCGACGAGCTCCGTGCGAGGAGGCCCGAGGAGGGATGAAGCAAGTGTGGAAAAAAGGGTGCGCCATGCGGTTATCGTACAGTAGTATAGCACTACGACGTGCAGCAGTCGAACTACAAGGGTTCGCTGGCATTGATTTGTCTCCGTTTAGATGTCGAAGGCAAAGCATGAACTTGCCTGGCAAGTGCTCGCGGAGAAGTTCTTGTAAGCATCATGAATTGACGCGTACCTCAGCTCGGCCACAGGCCGCTTTTTCACTGTTTTTGGGTTATCCCGTGTCATGGAGACCCTAAGGGAGCGTGTGACTGGCACATCGCCGTTCACTTGAATCTCGAGCCGTGCGAAACGTGTATGCTGCTTGTGTTTGTGCTGTAAGTCGTTGAAACATGCTGATCTTTCAGATTGCGGCCGACGATGGCGACCTATGATGCAGCTACCCAGCGGCAGAGGAGTTGGAGGTGTTGCATGTCTCGAGAGTCCTGTGCGGTTTTAGGAGCTCACAGCCTGCGCAGCTCGCGGTGCTCCTGCAGTGCACCGTGCGGTGGGGAGCGAGGGACCAGCCAGCGACGGCGCTCCTTTTCTGCGTTTTCCGCTAGGCCAAGCTTCTCGACGACGTTGCGCAGTCAGCGCCGCAGCTCCTGTGATACGCCGCGGAGGATATCGTCGCACAAGTCCTTCGCTCATTGTCGCGTGTTCTGACGTGTTAGGAGCAATGCTGGCTTCTTCCGGTTCCACCTTGAGCGGCACGAGCCTCTCGGCCGTGGCAGCGGAGCTCCTCCAACACCCACTTCGATCTTGCGTCAGCCTATGCGTACTACCTGAATGCCCATGACGAGGTGTTTGACGTCGCATAAGCGAAGTTGTTGTGAGCGTTTGCTTTCTCGTGGAAGGCTTCGACAAGACGGCACCCAGCAGGCAGGACCCAGAGGACAGGGCAGATCTTTGTTGTGAGGTATCATCTCCGGCTTAACAATGGCCTGCCAGCCGAGAGCAGAAGACTACGATCTTGAGCGTGGGCGTGCGAGGGTTTGGCTCGGAAGGCTCAGGCCCCAAGGCCCCAGCAGCTTGACCCGGCGACGCCGACGTCCTTGCCATGGCTTGCTCACGTAAACTTGCAGCAATCTGGCTGTTCTTCCAGCTAGCGGTGGCAGAGAAAGTTGCGCAGATCGAGCAGGTGTCAATCGGCAAGTTTCGAGATGGTTCGGCATTGGAGCGTTCTGCTCAAGTGGAGGCTCTGCGCAGAGCCTTTGCCCAGCAAGGCATGGTCACTCTGGTCGACACAGGGATTGAACACGAGACGATTGAGAAGACCATCACGAAGAGCCGGGACTTCTTCGCTCTGCCTCGTTCCAGGAAAGAGCACTTCAATGGCCCTTCCGGATATCCGCCGCGGTCCTTTGGAGCAATCACCTCGCCTCGCGGAAAGCACTACCACCTCCAGCAAGAGGACGAAGAAGGCAACATTCTAAACGAATGGCTCCAGATGCGGAACACATCGGTTCAGGTAGATTGGTCCGACCCGTACTATGCCTCTCCTGAGGGGCAAGAGTTCTACAGCTCAGAAGCCAAGCACCCGGAGCAACTCGAGTGGCCTGCGGAGGTTCCCGGTTTGCAAGAAGCGACTGCCGCATACTATGGGGCTATGGAAGAGCTCTCCAAAGTCATGTATGAGCTTTTTGCTGTGGCCCTGGAACTCGAGCCGGACTTCTTCTTGAAGCGAGCTCGACGGTCGCCAATCTGGCCCGTCACTATCGCTCATTACCCTCCTCAGAAGCGTGCACCTTCAGATGACCGTGCCCGCATTCAGCCACACTGGGATCGAACGCTTTTCGCCATGATCACAACGAGCGACGTTGGTGATGAGGAGTCTGGCGGAGGATTGCAAATTCTTGTCGACTCCGCAACGGGTGAGGGTGTCGATGGGCGTGCCAAGCTTGAGGGAAGGTCAGTGGAATGGCAAAATGTAGTGCGGCCACCCGGTGGCTACGTTGTCAATGTTGGTGAGATGATGAGTCGATGGTCAAATGGCCGCATGAGACATGTTGTGCATCGTGTTCGCAATCCCGTCGTAAATCACACTGATCCAGGAAGGGTTTCTCTCATGGCCTATGTCTTGACTGACTATGATACTCCGGTTGAATGTTTACACTGCCGCTCCGATGGGTCTGAGCCCATTTACGAACCCACCTGGGTCGGGGAGTTGATGAACTGGGGTAGCAAACTTCCCATCTACAACCAGACGAAACAGGACATGATGCGCCAGGCACAGGGGCTCTACCTCTCGAACGGCACGCAAACAGCGCTGGGCGAGCCAACTGACATCACCGATGCGGCACTGGAGCTGGCTATGACTCCATGAACCTTAGCTCCTACCGCGAAGTGCTTCAGAAAACAGTCTTCATTTGGCATTGGCCAGACATTCTCTGGTTATGTGGGCTCCCAAGATGCGTGACGGGAAGTTGCCGCATGCAACCGACGATGTGGATGCTACTGACATTGTGCGGACTCCTTGCCAGGTACGGTTGTGATTTGCGATATTGTCAATTCATGACAAGCGCGCGGCTACCAAATCAACGGTCCCACACGGTTTTATGCTTTAGTTTTGCTGTTTTTCAGGGGTGTCTCGCCCTGAGTGTCAATGACATACGCGGAACCTAGGCCCCTACCGGTCCAATGCCAGCTTCATCGTCGCATCCCCCGTAAGCAATATTCTGCGCAATAGTTTGTCTTTGGCCTGCAACAACTATTGCTGCGATTGTTGCTATTCTCAGTTATATTTTTCTTTTTTGTATCCAGTTTAGGGGCTCGACTTTCGGGTTTTAAGATCTAGGGAAACCCCAGTCGTAGGTGGAGTTCCTGCAGCAGTGTCGGTTGTCCTTTCTGTGCACTTGTCCCTGCATTTGTTCTGCGGTTAAAGCAGCACCCAACCTTTGCGGCTTGCAGGGCTCTTGGCATGAAGATAGACCGATGAAGATTTGGTTGCATTATCAGAAACATTGCGGTGTTGAGAATGGTTTTTGCCGCGACCTTCAAGCTGTTAAGGTTTATGTGCCGGGGGCGAAAGCTCTCCTGTCCAAGCAGCAGTCTTAGCTTAGCAACAGCGCTTCTGCTTTAGCTGGAGGCCTGGCGCTGGGAACATGACCGCAGCCATCAGCCACATGCAAAGAGCAACTCGCCGCTCGGGAGCAAAAAATTCCAAAATCCATGTCGCTTCGCTCATTTCTCATTTCCTTTTCTGTGCTGTGTCAACAGCAGCTTGCTTGTGTTTCGCAGCTTTCGGCTTCAGGTGAAGACATGTGCACATTTGCGATCAGAACAGAATCAGTTTAGATGCCACAGGGCCGTGAACGAAAGTCGTACAATTTAGCCAAGGACCAACTAATCACTGGTGAACCAGCCTTGGTATAGGTCTGCAATATGCAAGAGGACCGGGCATGTTGTCTGCGCAACGTGAAGCAGATGGTGCACGCATGTGCGCTCTGTAGTTTTCGAGGTGACTTCAACACCTTAAGGCTTACAGCTTGTGACAATGTGGGCAGCAGTGGACACTTTTGGCAGGACAATCCAGAATTGCGCAAGCTCACAGAGAAAGCTCGTGGGCGTCAGCAGACGCAGCCTTACTCATTGCATCCTAGCCTTACTGCTCTTGTGAGAAACCTGTCTGTCGCGCAGCATGTTCATTTGTGTCCTTGCATGTGCTGATTTCAAACTCGCACCCATACTGCCACCAGCGGGAGGACGGACATGTAGTAAGTACGCAGGGTTGGGGAATGGACAGTGATCCCTGCACATGCACCCTTGCGCGAACGGATCCGCACAAGACTTCCACATCTTATCAATGTCATCAGTTGCAAGTGCACATGGAGTGCTTTGCTTGTGCAAGACCCCAACATTGTCACTGGGAGGTTTGTATACGACGGGCGCACTGTCTACGAGTGGGAGCAGCCGACATCTTGGTCCAAGTTTGTGCCGGTCTGATGGTCTGTTTTAGTTTGCAACATTGCAGGCCACCGTAGCGATTCAAGATTGTTGACTTCCCACTGCGGCATCGATTTCTGCATGTCCCCCACAGGAACATAGATGAATGCCACATCTACATCCAGCCCCCACCTGGCGTGACCAAGTGCGGAGCTCAGTAGATGCATCAGAAGGCGTACTTGATGTAATTCCGAGTACGCCAGAGCAGCCCCGGGTACTGCCACCACAACTACTGCGACGACTACAATGTGCGGGAAATCAAGCCATCTTATATACACGTACACATAACATTTTTTGGGCATCTTGTACCTTATGATAGCACACATTATCAAACATTAGCTATATACATTACACAGTACATACTCGGACATGCCAGCCGCATGACCCCTCATGTTCCTGAAAACCTGGCATACTCGGCGTTTTTAAGTGGCGATACCAAAATCGTGCTAGCGCTACTCGGCGCTTCCCGGGCATATTCGGTGCTGCACGCTTCTCGGGCAAACCCGGCGCTACCCGACCACCTTGCCTATTCCACAGTCGCGCTTTCCGGTCACAGACGGTATTGAAAGCACTTTGAACAACTCCGACTTGAGGCATCATCTGGACATCAAGATTGAGTCGGAGACCTAGCATTCTGAAATCCTGCTCGAGCTTTCTCGTCGTGATGTCGCTATTGAAGACAAATACACCGGTTCTGTGCCAGGCTCAAGCGTTACACAGCGCACAGGTTGCACTCTGAGTCTGATCCTCTATAGCCAAGGCCAAGGAAGCCAAGCCTGAATAGCTCTAGAACACCAGTGAGGGCCTCCAGCCCCATGCCGCTGCGCCCTCCTCTTGCTGCCTTTGACAATGACCTTCGTGGTGCAGAGGCCGCTGCCTTTTTGGCAGGCAAGGCTGGGCTCTGCAGAGAGCCTTGCAGTTGCTGACACTGCTGATCCCAGGAGGCAAGAGTGCAAGAACCTCAAGCTCCTTCTTCAACACGACGATCAAGTTCTTCCCAAAGGCGCCGGAGCTCAAGGAGCAGGAGGCCCGTGCCGGACTGCAAGTTCACATCTCATTTGCGTGAATGTGATTCTGGCTGTCCGCAGGTCGACTGCGACCAGGATCTTGCCGTCTGCAACAGGGTACCCTTGCAGAAAAAGAAGTTGTCAAAGTGGTGGTTGCCCGCATGACTTGTTCGTCCTTGATATCTTAACCTTGCTGTTCCAGATTAGCATGACACGTGCAGGAGAAAAGCGAAATTAATCCGGCGCATTTGCTCAGACAGTGATAGAGCACTGCGACGATCATGGCGACCGCGACCACGACGACTCAGACGGTCGCCACGACGACGAAGACGACCACGACGACCAGGACCACGAGGACCACCAAGACTACCACGACGACCACGACCGAGACACATCACCATAGTTAGTGGAACCTTCTGCCTGCGCCTCGAATGTCTCTACCTTCAATGTGAGAACAGCATGTGTGTACCACGCGGAAGAACCAACACAAACATAGAAAGCAGTACCAACAAATGCAATGGCTCAGGCAAGAGTCCTTCCGCCCCTCTGCATCTGAGCAAAGCTCGTCGAAGATCCCACCACATGCACGTAGAGTAGATCGGAGCCACAGTGCTGCAAACCTGATGACCAACACAATTGTGGCAACCGTCCAAGCACCGTTACATGAGACCCGTTTCGCTGACCCATGCCCCAGCTGACTCCATAGCAACTGATGGCGGACACATGGTGCTCATGAGCTCGAGGGGTTGCCACCTACAGGAGGGACCCCTAAAGCCTGCAAGAAGCAGCAAGAGCGAATTTGATTCGCTAAGGAATGCGAAAAGAAGTTTGGCGACAGACGAGCCGAGTTCGAAGAGCCGTGCAAACTGGCAGTGTCGTCGCATTTCTCCGAGGCCGACGCAGAATTGGGTTTGCGGTCTCGTCTGCTTGTCTCGTCTCGTGTCTTGTGTCAGGAAGGCTGCTTCCCTCCCTTTGCGAAAGTGAGGGAGAGGCAGCTCGGGGAGCTCCTGATCTCGCAAGTGGAGGCAGGCCCGGAGCCGGCCTGTTGTACTCGAAAGATGCAGCTTCTGCTTCTGAGGTCGGTCATGAGCTGTCGCAATGTTCTGGTGGCTGGTCGAAAGTCATTGCACATCTTCACTCAGATGTGGAGGCTTTCGTGTTCAAGTGCTGTTATGTGCTGTTGTGTTGTGGACTGTGACTGGTCTTGGTCGTTGTTCGCAGCTTGCAGCAGGGCATGTTCAAGTATTTCTTCCTGCACTTCGAGAAGATGCGGTACTTGACCCTCACAGGCGACCACATGGTCAGAGTACACGCTTCCGGTGACGGTGAGTGGCGTTGGCGCAAAGCCAAAGAGGTGTACCTTGGACAAAGATGTTTGCTGCACCTTAATGAATTGCAACAACGTGTGTGCGCCAGCAAGTGAGGAAAGAAGGAGATCTTGTGGAAAACAGTGAGGCCATGACTAACGATAGCTGATCTTGTCAGCCTGAGAACTTCACCATCCCATGGCCAGGGAGAGGCGAGAGCAGTGCTGTGTGTTACGACACTGGGCTGGCCTGGAGCCTATGCTCCACTGACTGAGAGCGGTGAGCTCTTGGTGGATGGCACCTGCCTAAGCTGCCACGAAACAGAAGCTAGTGCAGTTCAGCACGGTGAGTGCGAGCGCAGGCTGGCGCTGTTCCTGCTTCGCTCCACGCTTGGAGCTGTCGCACGAGCTGTGTCATGCAGCGCGTCTCGGTGCAACTTCCTAGGTCCTAGGCAGTCTCTTTGTGCTGGGCTTCACATCCATCACGCTCGAATTCAGATGCGATGTCAGGTTCCTGCCGCTGCGTGTGCTGCATGCGACGGTGGGGCAGCTGCAACATTCTCAGGCTAAGGCGCCAGGGTTGTGTTCGGTCTCAGCTCGTACGACCAAACCATGTCTTCTGCCGTCGCAGGAAGGCAAAGATGCAGACAGCCCGTCGCTGCTTCGGGCGGTCTGGGACGTCGCGCAGGACGCCTGGCTCTACGGCCAGGCGAGAGAGTGCCCAGTGTCCTGATCGCGTGCGGTTCGATTTCACTCCGATGCCTTGTGCTTGAGGCTTTCTGAGTCGGGCGCATGTCGTTAGAGCAAGAAGACGGCCCGTCGAACGGTGGGACTAGGGTTGGTCAGACTCCGATGGCATGAGCATCCTTTTCCAGCCCAAGGCTGGTTGAGATAGCCATGCAAAGACATGGTCTTTGAGAGGGGCTACATGCCGATTGTTTGGTGCAGCTAGGCTGGCCGAGACTTGAAAAGGCATTTTCCTCCTTTGTCTGCTTTTGTGGGCTCAAGATTCGAGGCCGAGGCACCTGCGTGTCGGCATCAAGGGCAACCCGCCTTTCTTGAACGAGGAGCCCTTTAGTTTGGTACTGGGCCTACTTGCTCCGCGTCGCCTCACGATTGGCTTTAGAAGTCACCGAGGTTGAAACCGACAGCTCGTTTTGGATGATTGAGGCCTGGAGCACGCGACATAGCTGGCATGAAACGTGCTCTGCACAGAAGGACGGGGAACTACACATCCAGATGCAGAAAGCCCACAAGGTTTGCAGCACAGTCTCAGCGCGCGCGCGCGCGATAAGATTGCAATCAAGAACGCTCTCAGGGCGAGACATGGGCGGCGGCGCTCAAAGGCCAGCTCTGTTCAAGAAGAGCTCGCTTCCTCTGCAAAGCTTTCGAGGTCATGGGCAGTTGGACATGTTCTCCGAGCAAGAGATAAACAAGAAGCTGATGCTTGAACGCTTCCAGGCAACGTGTGTCTCGCAGTCTTGCGTACCTTGTGTACCTTCGATGCTCGCGGGTGGCGTATGTGCGTGTTTGTACGCACGTGTGTCTGTCTGTCTCTCTCTCTCTCTCTGTGTGTGTGTGCTTGTGTCCGTCGCAGCTCTCGGACTCCGCCAGCCCGGCATTTTGCGCAGGAAGAGCATCCGGGCTTTGACTTTTCAGGGGCTTCCTTCAGTGGCCAAGCCCCGAGTGCCCGCCACCAAGTCACAGCGGCGACGCTTGCAGCGGTTCGCTCATGTCCTTCATGGTCCTGCACTCGTCCTAGGCTGGGGCTAAAGTGCGGAGTATTGATCGTAACGGGAACACGCTGACCGTAGCAGAAACTTGTAGCAAGAACTGGCCCCCGGATCCCGTAACAGCGTTGGGGCAGCCCCTTGTAACAGGAACCTGTCCTGGCTGTTAGGCCTGAGGGGAATACAGGGTTGAGGTCGAGGTTGTGTAGCGTTTATCGGGTTTAGGGGTTTATCGGGTTTAGGGTTTAGACGTTTAGGGTTTATCGGGTTCAAGGTCTGGGAGTAAAGTGTTTAGAGACTTCACCTGGTTAACAAACACATACGCACACGTGAACTTATCTGCAATCAGTTCAATCTTGCATGCATCACTTTGAACCTATGAAACTGCAACAAATGCAAACACTGATACGATTGTCAGCCTGCCTGTTCCCAGCTTATGACAGCATGTGAGAAACACGCACAAGATTGGTTGTGTGTACCCGCTGCGTATCCATGCATCAGCAAACGCATGTGTGTGTGGGTGTGTGCGCGTCCGAATGCATCGATATCTTCATCTATTCCTATCTACTTCAGGCCTGCCCGCGGGGGTCCGGTTTTCGGTCCCCTATACTTTGCGAGCATAAAAAGGTTCCTGCTCACGCCCGGCCGGTTTCCAATGGCAGTTCCTGTTCCGGTGGTCGTTCCTGTTTCGCTGGTCGCCTGGTTGCCGTTACCGCGGCCGCACGTCTCCGTTACGGTGTGTGAGATCGGTTTTCGTTACTCCCCAAAGCGGTTCCAGCGGGCCAGTTGTCCGTCTTTGTTGAATCAAGTTCAGCTTGCTTGTTGAAGCCCAATGCCATACTGTGAATTTAGGGCGCCCTGGCCCACAAGCGTCCACCCTGGACCCTAAGCCCTAAACTCTTCATCTTGAAACTCGAGAAAGGAGATTTTGGGCAGAAGCCTCTTGGGTTGAACGGTCGGATTTCACTGTTCCGTTGTACCTTGTGTTGGCATGGGCCCAGACACGCAAGGGCTTCACGCAGATCGGCTGGACGTACCCCTTTCGACTCTTGTGACGTGTTTTCAGCTTCCTGGGAAGAGCTATCGGTCAGGTCTGCATTCATGCATTACGGGACCTGTGGATCTCCGAACCCATGTGAGAGAGTTTTGACACTGGGCATGGTTCGACATTCTATCTACAAACAAGCTCCTGTTCATGATCTTGCCATCTGCAATACGTGCGACTTCCTCTAACATTGTCTCGGGTCTCAACACCGATACAGAAGCGGAATCGACTACGTGCCACATGAGGGGCCCAGTGTCCGTGGGCCTGTCTATTTCTGCAGTTGTGCTGATTGCAAAGGCCAGAACCTTCATGGGCGGCATTCATGCAGACCCACAAGCTCTGAAGTAGAATTCTGAGGCTTGAGAGTTGCTACGGGTTGTGCTCCCGAGTCCTTTCCATGCGGCTTTACATGCTTGCTCGGGACAGCAAAGGCTGTACAGTGTCCCCCACAGTGCCCAAGGTGGCACCCAAAAACTACAGCCAAAATAGGACGGCGCAGAATCAAGCTATGACGATTCCTGCCATTTTTAGCGCTGGGCTCTGAATCTCAATAGGTTCTAGAAGGCTGTAGCATCTGCAAGCCTTGACGTTTTGTCGTAGCCTCTCAGCTCAGGCAGCTCAGGCTTGCATTACACAGCTCTATGACCTGGGTAGCATACAGCTCTCGTAAGGCTAGTCAAACAGTTTGAGTGCTCAGATTGGACAGAAACCATGGTTTGGTGACGGAACTAGCACCAATACGAAGCAGACCTCGTCACCCACCATCTCAAGGCAGTGCCAACACACCAGATCCTTCAAGGTACATCCGCGAAACAGCCAAAGCATACTCGACGGCAAGCTAGCAGTCTGCAAACAACTTGAAGGTTGTTGCCACGGCCGATGTACCGCGATGGCCTCCTAAGTGGCAGGGTTGTCGACCAGTCGAATGACTCAGCTGGCCGACACCTTGCTGTCACATCCCTTGCCGCGCAGCGATGATGGCAAGCTTGCCGTTCGTGACCGGGGCTGAACTCTGCCACAAAGTCAAAACCCACAAGAGCACAGCTACGTGAGCAACAGACCTTGTGTGTGTAGGCAGCAAGCAATGTAGCAGCAAAGCCAACGCTGTTTACCACTGTCAAGTGAAACAGACGTCATCTAAGAACAGCCTGTAGTGCTGCAGTGCCCAAATGATGGGTGTCACTGCCAGTGTTAACAGCCCGCAAGCGCTGAGGATAGCTACATGCGTCGCACAAGAGCCGGCAGTTCCAATTCCAGAGGCAGCATAAAGCATCACGGCAGATGTTTTTCTTGCTGCACCAAGGCACCCCATCGGAGAGCCCCAGCCGCAGCCGCAGCCCGGCCAAGTCTGAAAAGCAGACACTCCCAATTAGGACCTCAGCGTGCCACGCAACATGCGAAAGTCGCCTTGACCAGTTCACAGACTTGAGCTGATGATGCCATGTCCGAATTTTGTAGGAGCCGGGACAGCCGCCGGATCGATAGCAATTCACCTGGATGGTCTGATTCGGAGATCCGCCCTGTTCGATCACTGTCGGCCCCGTCACTGATCTGGCATGGCCATCATCCACACGATTCGCACCAGCCTCTTGCCTCCATGCTTGTGATAGAGCGAGAATCGATATTCACAGAATTTACCCGCCCTGTCTCTGGCAGTCCGGGCTGTGCTTTCCCCAAAGACGCTTCGCAGAGGCCAGAAAACCCTCGCCGATTCCCGTCAGCTCCGCCACAGAAGCGCGAGACAAAGAGCTCTGGCGAGATGGCTGCGGGTCTCAGTTTGAAGCAACGCCTTTGTCAAGTAAGAGGGCCTGGACCGTCTATACCCACTGCTCGCGTTAAGCGTGTTTGCCGAGCAGGAGGCAATTGGCAAAGAACGCCAAATGGATGGAATCAAGTGTGTTTTTCTTTGGTCTCGTTTACTGTCAGCCTTTTTCCGCTCCGTCCCAGGTTGATTTCCAGCCGCTCAGTGCGACTGCCAGGAATCACCTTGGACGGATTCTGCAGGGTCAATTTGGGATGCAGGACCGCTCTGGCGGTGACGTGCGCGCAGCTTCGGCCTGTTATCCAATGCCCTTATTAGGAGGATGGACTGGACGAGCCAGTGCCGTCATCGCCTGTGGGAAGGAGATTTCGTGATTGTCTGCAGCACCGTGCAGTCTCGGGTTGAGGTCTTGAGCGACATGCAAATGGGCTTTGATTGAAGTGTCTTGTGACATGCCGCCCGAGCATGAGCTAGTTGCAGTTGGATGCATCTCACCTTGATGCTCTGTGCGCCGTCATCTGAGCACTGTCTCCGGTATTTGTCAAGTTAGCACATGGTTGATGCGAGAGTGCGATCGGCAGCATCGATTCCTCTAGCCGTGAACCGTCTACGCTCTACACGCACTGAGCCCCAAGGGTTTTTCAGGTTTCAGGCTGTGTTTCAGTTTTTGAGGCATAAAGCTATTCTGTGATATCCCTGGCGATGTCCGAAACCCGAGAACGCATCGGACGTGAAGGGCACATACAGCCTTTGCGGCTTCGCAAGCCGGATCAAAACTGCAGCAACTGTCTGCTTGTTGGACCCGAGACAAAATCTTTGTTATGCCTTTTTGCCGGATGCTTGGAGGCTAGGAAGGTCAAGAATGGGATGTCGAGACCTTTTAGTCCAAGGGCTCTCTACAAAGACCGATTTGCCAAAGCCCTGTGAGGAGAAAGGTCAGGGAACCGGTGGAGTTGGCAGAGCTTTCAAAGAAGAAGGCTCCTTGGCTGACAGGAGCCCAAAATGCCCAAAGTTCCAATCTGCGGCAACTGCAGCGGCCATGCTCGTATACTCAGGATTTCATTCATCGACTCGCTACCCGGCTGCTGTCAACCAGAGTTGTGGAGTCTGGTGGCACACGTAACGCACAGGGGTCATCTCCTGAGATGAAGTCTCCTCTGTGTCGCAGATAAGGTGGAAAACCAATGTTTCGTGGGTGGCTTCATGGTGCTTACGCTGTTCGCTCTCTTTGTGCCGGATCTTGATTTGCTTCTGGGCACAGTGGAGACCCAGCAGCTCCTAAGCTCCTCAGCACAAATGACGTGCATTCGAGCTTCTCCAGCATATCAGCTTGTCGCAAGCTAGCTGGGGTCAGAGACGCCGTCTTGTGCAAGGTGTAGTGATGACAGTTGCTTGCTTCCTCTTCCTCGTTGAGATCGTTGTGCAGTGCTTCGGGAAGAAGGGGTGGCTTGCAGCACTTGGTAAAATGCTGGATCTACGGTTCCGTTTCAAACTTCATCGGGAATGCGACCCCAGGTATGTTTTTGGTGCATACTTCTGGCTCGATGTGATCGCCTTGATCTCACTGCTGCCGGACACATGGCTCTTCAAAGCCGTGTTTGAGTCCAACCAGGCACAGACACGACCGCAGACGTAGAATCTCCCTGAGCAGTACTCCCCCGAATCCCCACCCAGTCCGCGGGCTGCGACCTCAACTGCCCTGAGCCGTGCACTCGTGGTCCTGGAGGCCTTTGTTGCTGGCCGGTCCTCGCGTCTGGCGAGGCAGGTTGTTTTGGTCGAACTTCTACATTCATTTTTGCACTGGAGTCTGAAACGTCACAGGGACCAGATTCGCACCCTTTCAGTCTGTGCTGTTGCTTTTTATGTGCGCGAGACGTTAAACCATATTCGGCCAGGCTGCTGCGCGTTGCCTCACGTTCCTCGAAGGCACCGGTGCCTGACGGTCTGTCCATGCGTATCTGCAGAGAGTTCGTCTTCTTTCTCGTAGGCGACGAGACTGAATCGGCTGACCCGCATCGTCCGTGTGGCCGCTCTGATGCCAAGGCACGCCGGTCTCGCTCTCACCTAATATGGTTCGCAATTGGGTCAAGCCGCCAGGCCTTTGTTCGAGGTGCATGTGAGACATCCTTTTTGCAATTTAGACGATGCTGTTGACGTTAGGTTCTGTGTGCAGTTTAGGGTTTCTGCCAACGCCTACCACGTCTCATGTGCTTGGGTATGCAGAGGTCCACCCACGGATTCTATTGCTGGGGATGTCTAGGTCTAGGTTTTGGTACGACATGGAAATTTCAGATTTTTGCAGGCTTGGCAAAGTCTGCGACCTGGATGCAAAAGATCTCCTCACCGTCTTCTCCCTTCGCTTTTTGTGCCGGCTCTTGCAATCCACGACTCTCTCGGAGCGCTTCGATGCACTTCAGGTTCCAAGCGCGCCAAAACCAACGACACAAATCGTGTCCTCGACAAGAAGCGGATGCCTTACGGTAGCCTTAAGAGCGTTGAGGATACCAGAGCCACAGTCCAGGTTGAGACGCGTCTTCAACTTTTTGGACAGTGATATGGATGGGCTCGTCTCACGTGTCGCGGTGCCGAGCGTTGTGGCCGAGCTCAAGGCCCGACTTTGGCTCTACGCTCCGTGAATACGTATGCCATGTAGAGTGTCCTTTCAGGCAGGAGATGCATCCGACGAGCAGGTCGCCCTTGTGAACCTCATGAAGTCCAAGGCCCTTGCCCATTCCTTGGATCAGTGCAGCGCCGCAACTGTGCTGAGAGGTTGCGAGCACGCTTGGTGCCATGAGACGTCTGGGCACGAAGGCTGTGCCTGCTGCGGGTTCAGTCCGAGAAGGGACCTGAGTAGCAGAGTCCGCGCTCGGATACCCGCCGCAGGCGAACCGGTCAGAGCACGTTTCCGAGGGTGCCAGGCACAGCTTGCGACTTGGGGTCTGATACCCATGCTGTGAATCCCAAATCTTTTTTTCCAATTCGAATCTCGGAACAGACAGAATGATGCAACTGAAAGTAGCTCCGACTTCTGTTGCCGCTGAGAAAGTCACCGGATATCACCGGATGCAAGGAATGTACCTGGTGCAGGTCGAAAGCATCGCAGCGGCTGGAGTTTGACTTCGAGCCAGAATCGCCGAACCCATCGCAAGCTACTTCCGGACCAGGTCCCGGAAGTCCTTGGCACTTGCCGAAGAGTTGAGAGCAAACGCACGCTGCCCACAGGTCCACTGGATGCGCTTCCAACGCCCTGTTGCAGCGAGAATCAGAGCATTCCGCCCAAGCCGGAAAGTAGCCATGCCAGCAGCCGGGATGCAGAAATGGGGCCTGTCCGACGACGGCAGTATTTACTGCGCAGGATCGCAAAAGATCGCAGAAGAAGCTGTCCAAACGGAGCGCTCTTAGACTCAGCTGAGGCCCTCGTCGGCGGTCGCCTCTCAGCCGGGCGCACACAGTGCAGGCCAGGATGAAGGCGTGCCGTTTGCCTGAGCACGCTACTGGAATTTAGGCAGTGGCTGCAAGCTTTCAAGCAAGAGTCCACGCTTGCGTTGCCGGCTTGTGTTCGGCAGGTGAGTCTGGCAACGAGCACGGCATCCCAGCTAACGAAGCAAACACCGGATGAGGAGGAAGAGGAAATGGGGCTTGTTGATTTCCAAGATGCTTGGCTTGCAACATACTCGTAGCATGCAGCCGAAGGAAGACACACTCGTGCAGCTGCAACGTACGGGGTTGTTGCCAAGGCGTTCAAAGAACTGATGTTGGAAGACAAATGGGTGGAAGAGAAGCTCCGCCGCTCCTGCGAGCAGCAGCTTAAGCAGGCGAGCAACATGAAGAACCTTACCTCACGGCACGCAGACACCTGGCTGAAGTAGTTGATGGGCCTCATGGCTGTCTGGTTCTCACCTGCATTTCGGCTGAGGAATATGTGGCCGTCCAGGTGGCGCTGGGTGTTCTGGCGTCCCCTGGCCCTGATGGTCTGTTCGCTTCGCTTCACAAAGCTGGCATTGGCCCGTGGCTCATTCGAGGCTTCTCTTCGTGCTCAACATCATCGAACCCACGGTTACCAACAACTCGGCACTTCGTGGCCTGGGTTTTTGCGACAAGTTGGCAGCCTTGGCTGCAAAGGGCCATTAGCGGACACTGGTGGAAGTGGGCACTCCAACTGTCGGACGGGGTTTTCCTTCAGTCGTAAGGCGAGTATTCAGGCACGCATAAGCATTTAGACGTCTGAGGTTCGACAAGAGTTTCCCGACATCACGGACTATGCTGAAGTGCCTGAACTTGTCAAAGAACAGGTTGAGGCCTTGCGCATCATGACAGTTACTGGCTTCTGGGTCTTGCGAGCAGCTGTCCGGCAGGTGTGGCTTCATGCGATGGAGAAGAGCATCGGCACAAGATCGCTGCTCTATCTAGATTTGGACAAGAAGGCGAGTTCCTCGTAAGCATAGGCCCAAGGATGCTGCGAAAGATTTGCTACCGGAGGTGTACTGCGATGAGATCTCCTCAGGCTGGTCAGAGCGCAGTTTAGACTTTGTCCCTTTATGCCTTTTCCTGTGCAGTGGATGTGTCCAGGTGACTCTTGCTCTTCCGTTCAGTCCTTCAAAGGGCCTCGGCGTGTTCTGAACGACTTGGACGACGAAGTGAGGAACACCGGAATCAGGCACGCGGGTTCTGACTCGCGGTGAAGTGCAGCTCAAGACTGAGTGAGATCAATCGGACCAGCTTCGGATGCCTTTGCCATGTGTTGTGCAGAGTCAGGCAAGTGGATCTGGTGCTTCTTCGCTTTCCAGTGCCTCGCTCTTCATAAGGGTGTCTGGCCTGCGCCTGCAGATGCAAGAGACTGCTTGAACTGAGGACTTCTCTGATAGTGAGGTCTCTGCAGAAGAGTTAGAGCAGCTCAGCCGTTCTGGTACATGCCGAGTCTCTTGAGAGTTGTGAAATGACTACAACTTGTACTTTCTTTGGTCCAGTTCACGCTTCGACTAGGCTTCGGACAACTGCCATTGCGGTGATATTTGACCGTGCCAGAACGTCGACAGAGGCACGGTCTAGCTTCCTAGTACAGCCGCATCAGACCTACCAGTGCCCTAGTAAGGCAAGCACGCCATAGTAGATGAGCAGCAGTTATTTGGAATCCGAGTGATTTGAAAGGCGTGGATGTCGCTGCTGACTACAGCCTCAGCAACTTTGCTCATGCTTTTCTATGTTCTTATTCTGGCTTTCACTGCTCAAACGATCTTCCCGCTACCCGGGCAGCTGCTTCCTTTTGTCCTCAGGTCATTGTCATCATCCTCGCCGGAATTGTCCTGCTGACCAGGGATTTGACTTTCCTCTCCCACCATCTGCTGAGGCTGCAGACACAACAGCCCGGGTCGCTTGCAGTGAGCCGAATCGCAGGCCTTTGCGTGATCTTGCCGATGACATGGAAAGCATCGCGCAGTTCGCCGGTGTTGGAAGTGAGGAAGAGGCTTGCCATGGAGTGTTAAGGGAGTTTAGGTGTCGGCACCAGTTGAGATCAGACCTAGTAAAGATGGCTCCCGAAAGCTGAGTTTCTTGCGACTGGGTCGGTGCCAAGTTTGTCTGAGAATCTGCAGGCTGGGGGGGAGCCCGAGACTAGCGAGGTGCTTCTCATCAGGAGGCGAGACGGAGATGCATGTTTGCTTTCCAAAGCTGAGAACTGTGCGAACCAACTAACGGGTCTGCAGGACTTTCGACAATATGAAGAAAGCTGTTCGGTCGTGGGGCAAGTACGTTCCGCTGCCGGTGCCCAGATGGAGTCAATGGTATTCGACTAGAACTGAGATTCGGCGTAGGATGCCTCAGGCAGAGAGTTCTGTGGCGCCAAGGTTGTGCAGCTGCTTCTCAGAGATGGCGAGGAGGCCAAGCTCGAGGTCAGGGAACGAAAGGCACCTTGCTCTCCCTCTGTGCCATGCCATCCCTCGTTCTGTGGAAAGGCAAGACTATGCACATGAGACTTCACTCAGGTAACCATGTTCTTCTCTGACATCGCGAACTTCACAACGATAGCCGCCTGCTTAAATCTCCTTCTCGCCTTGTGACAGCTTGGCGGGGCCCGGGGCTCACTGGAGCCAAGCTGAGGTGGAGAGCATCGAGCCGGCTGCCTGCCTGGTTCTTCTCAGCCGCTACTTCAATGACATGTCCAAGGCTCCAACAGATGCGCAGAGTCCTTGAGTCCACGGAGTAATGGCAAGCGATCTGGTGAAGGTCATCGACGATCACAGCGGTGTTGTGCTGGAATTCATCGGTGATGCGATCCAGTGTATCTATGGTGCACCTCTAGAAAACGAGCGCCATCCCACCTTGGCGGTGGAGGCCGGCAGGAACGAGTGACTAGAGATACCTGGGGATGCAAGGGATGTTCGCAGATTTCTAGGCTGCCCTGCGCATGCTCGGGGCCCTCCGGCGCATCCGGGACTGGTGCCGCGAGCACCGCCTCCCTGAAGTGAACATCAGGCCAGGCTCCTAAAGCGCATCACGGCATAGCGGCATAGGCGGCATAGGCGCATAGTCCTTCAGGGGCTCTTTTGTGCCGGTCTGAAAGAGTCTCGGACGATCTGGGGCTTCCAAGCTTGAAGCCTCTGAGCTCGTCTCATGATATATTTTGCGGAGTTCCAGTTCGAGGTCCGTTCAGTCCACCTCAGTTCTTGTTGCGGTGAGGTCATTTCAAGAGAATAGGAAAGCTGTCCCGACGAGTCCTTGAGCTCGCACTTCATGCGTCCGAAGCCATTCTCTGCTCTGACTGTGATTTCCCGCTTGGGGGCGATTCTTCTGGAAGTCCAGTATGCGGGAGTGCGACGCGTGGGATGCTTTAGATTCTTGCGCTACGGTGTTGAAGACTTTGGCAGCATCTGTACTTCCATTTTCCGCATCTCCCCAGCGGTCAACTTTCAAGATCGTGTCCTCAGCGTGTGAAGACGAGCTGGTTCTCTCTTGCGATCCCGCAGAAGTGGTGGATGCACACGGTTTAGATATGGTGGCTGTGGAGCTCTTGCGTGAAGCCATGGATGGACTAGCAGCAGCACACTTTGGTCGCCGTGAACAGGCGCGACTTGTGGTCTTGGGTGCTGCGCTCCTGGCCGAAGCTGCTGCTTTGCGCAGGTCAGGCCTGTCAGTGTGGACATTGCAAAGCGGCTTAAGGTGTGCTCTTGTCATCGCAGAAGCAGCCATAGAGAAAATGCGTTTTGGGATTCCGAGCTCATGCAAGATCCACATTGCAGAGAACGACATGGCCGGACTTGCGGACGAAGACGATGTGAGCTGGTTCTTCACGGCCATCGAGGAACCACCTCAGAAAGACTCCGGAGTGCACGTCGCGCCCTGCAAACCAGGCAACAGCCCAACGGGGTCCTTTGATCTCAGTGCGAGCATTGACGTGAATGATATCTGCGCAGAGTTGTGTCGAAGGCACAGTGGCCCTGTTGAGAGACAGCATTGCTTTGTTTACGGACGTCAGAAGCTGGTGCGGCAGCCGCAGATGCGACTTTTCCGAGGCATTGTTTGCCGCGTGCCCCAGTGTTATGTGTCTTGCCCCAGTGGCATGATGCGCGAACTCACGATTGCTAAGGAGATGGCGAGCATGAGAAAGCAGTTCTTTCGAAGTGTTTGCTTGGACGCAGACCTTGTCTCTGCAGCCTACGACTCTTGTGCCCCACCCCAGCGACGAACGAAGGAGCAAGTCTTTCAGACTGCAGGCACCCTTTTGCCGTCTAGCTTTCGTGAACGAGAGCAGGTGTCGGAGGCCATTCGCATGTTGGCAGAGCGCGGTACAGAGGCCTTGCTCGTCTCGGGAGAGGTCTCGGATGCGGTTTCTGAGCTCTGCCGTATTGAAGGCCTTCTCTTAGTCGGTGGCCTCCCTGCACGGTTACTGCATGCATTGGCGAAGGACCTCGAAGCCGAGGTCTTGCATGGTTTGCCAGCACTCGCTTCAGCAGACACACCCGAGGTACCTCCCTGGCAAGCGAAGCATGCACTTCGAATTGAGCTAGTAGACCGAGAATGCTCACGATGTGACTTCGTCTTCCCGCTGCTGGGTTATCGCCAGCCTCTCCTGCCACACCAGACCCACCAGAGCGGTACAGCCGACGAGCTTGTGGATCCCTTTTGGGAGCTTTGGGCGGCTGCTGACGGTGGCATGCCGGCAGCCTCCGTAGTGCTTCTAGAGAGCAGCTGTGAGCCTCAGCTGCGGCAGCTTCATGCAGAGCTTCACGATACTTTCCTCCGGCAATTGGGTTCTCAACCAGGCAGCGGGAAAGTAGATCACAATTGGATAGTCAAGGCGGCGGAAGCTTTGGAGGAGTCTGCGGATTCGGCAGACTTTCCACTCATGACTGCAAACGAGCAAGAACCTTCTGTTGCACCGTGGCTGCATCGGCAGGGCGACTTGACTGACAACCATGCGGCATGCCGAGCTATGGCATCAGCGCTGCGACAGATTGCAGCGGCAGAAGGTGACTACTGCACGAGATGCTGCGGCGATGGCGCGGAAGAAGATGTTAACCTGGAGCCTGAGACAGGCCACGCAGCTCTTGCGGTGCTGCAGAGAGGAACACGTTTGGTGGAAGTGATTCTCTCGCTCGATGAAGCGCAGCTCTGGCCGACCAGCAAAAAAGCCCGGCGTATGGCTCTTCTGCAAACGTTGCTTGTATATCGGTAGCAGACCTTTCGCAACCTGTGAGTCTCTTGAGGTGTGGAATTCACACTGGCAATGTGCTTGTTGGCAACATGGGCTTCTCCTCCCGCATGAAGTACGGCATCGTGGGCAACGTGACGGCATCCAGGTGAACCAATGAGCCCGGATCCGATCATCACTTGTGAAGCCAAGGCGAAGAGTCCACCATTGCAGGTAAGCTGGAGGCCCAAACAAGCTCTCGTTCGCCTCTGTTGGTCTTAGATTTAGACTTCTACAGGCTCTCTAGGCCCTAGGCTTCGCCAGCGAATGGTGTCAGGAGATGAACAAAACGTACAAGACGCGGATACTGATATCGGATGCTTGGCCATGACAAGCTGATGCCAGCGGCCGGCTTGAGCGTCATGAGTCATGAGCTGTTTGTTCTCGATCGATATCTTCGGGTGCTGCGAACAGCGTCAGGACAGCACTTATGATATGCTGGACCCGAGTGAATTCTTCATTCGCCCCGTGGACTTCGTGAATCTAAGACAGGCAGGGCTGGCCAACTCGTGACATGCAGTCGCTCTTGGAGGGGACAGTCTTTCCATGTCTGCCGAATGAGAACGATGAATCGCATGTGAGAGTGGCCGTTCACAGTCCGACTCAGAAGTCCCGCAAAGCTCGATGCAGGTACAGGAGAAGGACACGAGCGAACTTGTGCACGAGGCAGGACTTGCATTTCACTCGGTTCGTGCTCAAGGAAGTTGAGCAAAGTGAAATGATCTCAGCAGGATCATGCATCCTAATTACGTGTTGCACACGAATGGTGAAAGCCTATCGCTAGCCAGTGGTCCATAGTGGTCCCAAGAAAGGTTCTCGCAGCATCTTTCCCCAACGAAATAAGCTGCCAGGTAATGCCGATGAAAACGAAAAAGCCTCTTCGATGCAAGCTTGCCAGCCATGAGCTGTGTGTGAATCGTCCTCTCACTTCTCGGGCGGAAGAGCGAATGCCAAGGCCATCGAGCCCATTAAAGCGAATCATCTCGCTGCATGCAGAGGGAATCTGTGAGTACAGGCGCAAGGAGCTACTTAGCTTGCACCCAGCTCAAAGAAAGAGAATGCCAGCAGCGGTAGCAGAGCGCCTTTTGGACATGGTCACCGGAGGACGCCGCCAGAGGGCTTGCCTTTTTGGAGCATGACGGGCTCCCCAAAAGTAGTAGCCGGATCGGCATGGAGTGGGCCCAGCACCTCGCGTGTCTTCCGAGGTTTTCCAGCGCGGCACGGAAGTTTGAGCAGGTGAACACCATCCTGGCTGATTTTAACGGGGAAGATGATGTTCCATCTTCTTTGAACCTGAGCTGCACGACTTGGAGTGGTTTTCTATTGTCGCTCTGAGTGTTGGCAGTGTGAAATGGTGCGAAGGATGGCGAAGCGCTGCGCCACCTTGGCTGAAGTGCCGCCAACGAGCGAGTGGGATGGCACTTGGGACTCTTATGTGCCTCGGAAGCAGCTTGTTTCGTTTCCAGGTCCGTAAGCTGACAGGCAGCACTGTCATAGCCGTTGTTTCACACGGGAACCCACACATACACATAACAGCTACAACAACCGTGCAGCCTCATTCAGGTGGATTCCTTGCATCTGTGATGAAGATGCGCTTCTGTAGGAGTTCTTCGCAGGCTCGGACAATCATTCTTGCGACAGCAGGTCAATCAGGTAGCTTGAGTCTGACGGCTGCTGCGACTGAACTCGCGGGTGACTTTTGCAGGCAATCAGTTCCCGCAGAGATGATCTGAGTTGTAGGACATTAGCTAGTTTCCATGTAAAGATTTAGATCCGCATCTGGGAGCTTGCAGTGTGCAAGCAGAACCCGAGTGCTAACAGCGGTAAAACCTGGTATTTCCTTGATCCTGGAATCTGAAACATAGACGTGTACCTGGTTTCTTTACAGACTTGCCGTCCGGCCATGAGATGCCCGCGGCTTGGTGTTTGCAGATGCAGTAGCTCTTTGCAGCCCGCGCAGCCCTAAGCAACAGCCAAGACTGTTCAAGATGTCCTGTGAGGGCTGCAGCAGACGATAGCAACATGTGCTCTGTTGGTCTCACCTGCAGACAGGAAGTGCAGGTTGCAAAGCTGATTTGTGCTGCACCTCAGGGGAGCCACTCAGTTCTCGCTGCCGCAAATGCGTGCAGAGCCCCCGTACCCATCTTTTTCGAGCATTGATGCCAAGCGTGCCTTCCCGGGACCCTTGCCGTGAGTGTGTATTGCCAGTCATAGAGTCGTAGAGCAGAGACTTGCATAGAGTTGCCAGCAACTGCTGGGGTCTTGTCCGCTGTAGGCATGCAACATCTGCCCCAGCACCTGTGCTGTCAACACATGCCAGGTTGCCTAGACAATTGCATTCAGGAGCAAAGTCTGGGACCCTCGTACATTCACAATGCTTCGACTCCCAGCCGAAAGCAAGCAATCTGCAGCAAGGGGCCAGACCCTGTGTGCTTGAAGACTGCATGCGAGTTGTGCAGTGCCATGCTCCATGTCGTCCTCCTTTGAAGATCATGTGCTCGGAGCCCTTCAAGGGGGAATAAAATCCAGCTTGCAGCCTTCCTTATCGAGGGCTTGTCGTCCGACCAAGCTTTATGCGTAAAAGAACTGCCACCTGTGGTCGAAGCCGACAGTCCATGCTGCCGAGCCGCGGGAAAGTATGAAGCGGAAGTTTTGCCTGCGTCGCATTTTCGCAACATGTGCGGCTCACAAGTAAAAAGATCAGATCCAAGAACCACAAGCATGCTGAACAGGCACGGCCAGAAGTGAGAGACCTCAGCGTGAGTTAAAGCGACAAAGCCTTTAGAGCGGGAAATGTCGGAGGGTCCCAGCAGTGGCCCGGTTGGCCACCAAGCCCAGGGCCAAGGCGGCCAAGGCCAAGGCCAAGGCCAAGGCCAAGGCCCCTCTGCGGGCGCCTCTGCGGGCGCGTCTGCGGCTTCGGGCCAAGGCCCGAGTTCCGAGGACTTCCGGGACCTGGGCCCAGAGGCGGCCTGGTCGCTCTCCTCGGCAAAGCAAGGCAACGGAGACACGGCAAAGATTGGACTCGGACATTGCAGGTTTTTTGGTTCTATGTGCTGGTACGGCTGTGCGGTTCTGTTGCCGTGGTCTTCAGAATCTCAAGTACTCTTGGTACGTCTGCCAGCGATTGAGCAGTTCGGGTCTTGAGCTCAGAGCTTACCGCAGGTCTTGTTGTAGAAGGGCCTGGGAACGGCTCTATTTGTTGCAGCACGATTCTCTGGCCAACCTCAGGAGTGGAGCAGCTTCGTGATGGCAGCACTGACACCTTCTGGCAGTCGGACGGACCCCAGTCCTGTCCCGAAGACTTGAATTCACCTTGTTGCTAGTGCAACGCTGTTGCTAGCAGCTATAGTTCGCGTGAGGCCGCACCTGATAAACATACAGTTCCAGCGCAAGGCCGTGTCGATGGCGGTTGGATGCAATTGTTTACCTTGGGTTGACAGGTCAAGGTCAGCGAAATCTGTTTCTATGTGTGTTTCAAGATCGACGAGCGACCCCCCAAGTCACTCGCGAATTGTGATCACCCGGAGATTTCGAGAGCCTTTGCTAAGATCTGAGGTCATACACGCCGTCACGAATATCGGTCAGAATAGGCACCGCACACCACGATCTACAAGAGGCGTGTCCATCGCGCATTGGTATCGTGCTTGTGAAGTAGCACGAAAGCTTTTGAGAAGCAGCCACGTGGGACGATATCTCCACAGTATCCAGCTTTGCCGGGAGAACTGTGCACAATTGCTAGCAGGTCCAGGTGGTGGAGCTGAAAGAGCCCGACGGCGCGACGCTAAGAAAGGGAGCTCATGTGGGTGTGGGCGTCGAAACACACGGCTGCTCAAGCAGGGGCTTCGGAAAACTCCGCCCGCTCAGCTTACCCACAACAGCCTCATGCGCTGAAAACATGGAAGGAAACACAGTTCCGGTTGAGGCTGGATCACGATACCTCTCGCCAAGCCGAGCTTTCGACCTGTGGACGCCTGGCGGGCTAGCGATGCAGGGGCGGTTCTGTCCATGAGGGAAGATTACAGCCCTTCGGACCATGCCATACGGCGGAACAAATAAGTTCAAGCTTTGAATATGACGAGTGATGCTCCATGCTTTTGGCAAGGGAGCTTGGGCTTGAGCGTACATTTCCTTTGCATGCCTGCTATGTCTTCATTGCATCTCCAGCCTTACTTTTATTAGCGAGGAACTGCCGCCAAGCTGTACCTTGCGCGACAGCGAGATGGGGGGTGCTCGAGAATTTGTCCGCACGCATTTCATCCAGCAGCCTGGGCTGACGATACAGGGGTCTTGAACGGCCTTGCCGGCAGACCAAGCTGAATCCTGCACGCAGCCGAACCAAGGTTGGCCGTGCTGACCAATCATCAGCACCTCGTCGTGCAAGGAAATTTTCAACAATGGGAGCCCTGGCAAAGTGTTGCGCTAAGGAATGGGCGCGACACGCACATTCGCCAAATCAAGGTCGGAAATCTGTCGGAGATCATTCAGACGCTTTCGAGTGCTCGGCCTCTGCCAGGTGCTGGGCCCCCGAAGTGCGAAGCGCTCCAGTGCGGATGCGCCTAGGGAGGTCCGACTGAGGGGACTGGGGGTGATTGTTGGAACGTGCCATGGCTCGTGTTGAACCAGGTGTGTCCTCTCAAACTTCAGACCCGTGAGCTGCAGCAGTTCGCGAGCATTCGGTGATGGAAACAGGCTCACAGGGCTGTGGATGTCGACCCGAGTTCAGCCGAGCTGCTTCCCGTTGTCCTCACCCTAACCGCACCCTCAGTCTCGCTTTCATGCGCTCTCAACTCCTCTCTCGTCTCTCGCTCGATGGAGCACTCAACCTAGTGCAGCAGATGTTCAGCGAACATCTTGTGGAAGTTCTCGACAAACCGTCATGTTTCGAGCGAACTCTCCGACGACAGTACATAGCTGCGGGTAACGCGAACTCTGGTGTGGAGCTGCGTTGCATTGCATGCCTGCTCAGCCTGCTCAAGAGCAAGAGGCATAGCTCCGACATGAGCAAACATGAGCAACGAGCCCCCAAGTACTGTAGCAGCCCAACCCGAGATCCTCGCTGAGTATATCCATCATGTGTCCGAAGATTGCACAGATGCAAGAGTTGTGTAAGTGGCACCCTGGCCCACACAAGATCAGAGTGCCACAGCGCAGCAACCCTCCAGCCCTGCCAGATGGCTCCAAGCAACAGAACAGATGCCTTGCAGCTTCAGTTTCCGGTGCCGCGCTAGCTGCTAGCTGTTGTAAACAGCCAAGCGAGCCATGGGCAACGTGGTGCTGGCATGATTATAGGAGAATGGGACATCGTGAGCACCGAGTGCCGATGTACCAACATCGAGAAGATGGAAAGTTCCTTCTCCAAACCAGTTGCAGGTGATTTATCCACTGTGGGCGGAATGTCCGATGCTGACAAGGATGGTCGTTGCAGGCCAGTTCATGATGGCTGCAGTGCCACCTGCTGAGAGAACAAAACAGATGCACGAACATGACCAGTGCATGTGTTTGGCAGAGGCTATCCTGTGATGTCCTTCGCGGTCCTAATGATCGCGTCGGCTTCGGAGACCACTGCCTGGCTTGTGGACGGTTTCTTTCACTGTAGCATAGAAGCTCGTCTGCACGGCATCGAGCACTCAATTAGGTTGTGGAGCAGTCTTGGAAAGTGTGACCCTGCACGCCGCAATTCTTCATCCTGTAGGAGTTTCCTGTGCCAGTCAAATTCTCTCCAACCGCATGTTCCACACAAACGTGCAATGGGCTACGTGTATTAGCTTTGTTTACTGGTCTACCATACGGCTAGCGCCAACATGGGTGTATTAATCTGTGTGTGTCTTCATGAATATGCACACTCAGCACTGTACCGGACCGGGGCTGTTGCAACGTTGTGTGTTGGCTTCACAGCCAGGAGCGACGAAGCGATAGGGTAGGTAACGAGCTAATAATGCAATCCGTGATTTGGGTTCTGGGTGGGTGGACTGGACTTTGCATCCTCGCAGACTTGGACTCGCACTCGAATTGGCTTGCCTGTCAAGGCCAATCTGATGGAACTGAAGCCGGAAGCCCAGTGTTTCTATAAATGTAGTTCCAGAGGGTGCTCGCGCTTGTGAACGGATCATTCTCATTGGCACGTAACTCCTGGTAACTTGTCTTGCAATTTCTGCTCAAGCTCTGAGGTTATGGACGCTGCTTTGGGGTCCCTTCTATGTTGAGCTTTCGAGTGGCATGGCTTTTGTCATGATCCTCTTCGAGCACCATGGCGTGAAATGCACTTCTTATCAAGAGCCTGCTGTATCGCATGCCGTAGATTTGTCTGCTGATGTCCCTTGTTTGCAATTGCAGTTCCTGCAACGGCTCCTGGTTAGGATGTACATGGCAATGAGCCACTTCCCCGCACAAGAGAAGGACCGGTTTGCTGAAGATGCTTTTGATGCTTTCGCTCTGGGCTGCCGCGGACGGCACAGCATTGTTCCGTCAGGAGATGGGATCGACGACCTTCCTGCTCTGGATGTTTCTGATCAACACTCTCACAAGAAGCCCGCCTGCAGTGTGAATCCTCGAATGTCCGTGTTCCATCAAACTTTCATAGGTTTGGTCTGCCAGGTCTTTGTGGCTCCTCTGTTAGTTTCAACAGGCACTCGATTAGGCCTGGTCGAGGAGAGCCTTCCAACCATTGGTTGAATGGGTAGATGAATGGTACACATCTATTTTATTGGCCTCCTTGTTCGCTCTGAAGTTGCAGTCATTTGGCAGAGGTGTCGTCAGCGGAACCGGAACTGCTATGGCACGGATTGCGACAGCGTGACACTGTGCTCCAGACCTGTGTCAATTCAGGTCTGCTTTATCTGCCAGTTATGTCGCTTGGCACAACTTGGCACAAAGCTTCCGCCCTGTGTGCGGCCTGGAAGCTGAGGTTTTGCCTTGGCATGTACTACCACATGCAGCCGTACTATTACCACCAGAGTTTGCGTGGGTATGAGGCTCGGAATCGCGAGGTGTTGAAAATCGAGAATTCCCATACTTGAGTCGTGCCACGCACACGGACAAGCAGACCTTCGGTGCGCGTACCCTGTGAAAGTCTTCAGCTGCTTCTTAGTGTCAGGACGGTACTTAGATTGTGGTGACGGGGTCGGTCAATCAGTCCAGCGTTTGTATCACTGATTGAGGGTGCTGAATGCATTGTGTTGGGCACCCGGCCTTGTGCTCAATGTTGCGAGTGTCGACGCGGCCCTTTCATGCACAGCTTGGTTCATGTGAGAGTCGCATTAGAAAAACCATGGAACCACAGCTTCTTAGAGAGCGATGTTGCTTCATCGCCAATCAGCCTTCGGCTAGTTGGCCAGAGCCAGTCGGGAGAAGTGATCAGGTTCTCTTAGTCTTTGGCAGGTCGTTTGTTCAGGATTGTGGAGGTGGGCTAGTAGAATGCTAGTTGCAGCGCTTACAAGTTATCACTTCACCGTTGTGTGTGTGTGTGTTGAGGATCCTTGATGAGCGTGGTTTCACTCTCGATGAAAAAACTCATCGCTCACAAACCAGCTCTTCCGTGTGATGTGTGCGCACTATTCTTGGCTTTCGACACCACATGTCGCTCTGCTACACCACCCTACAATAATTCGTTTCATAATCGAGGAAAAGACAATGGTCAATGTTTGAGTGCTCGCACAGACGCAGCAGAAACACGCCGCTGCTGAGGCTTTGGCCGATGATCATGGCCTGGGGCTTTGCGGCGTAGCATCCTCTTCACAGAAGTGTGCAAACTGTTGCATGGGCTGAAAGGTCTGCTTGACATTGTCGGCTCTTAGCAACCCAGACAGCTCGACGAACTTCTGGGGCCTGGTGGGAAGCCTTGGCAACCCCTAAAGGATCAACCCTCACCTCGGATTTTCTTGCGCAAGGTCAAGATTCCGAACAGGCGTGTCGTCGGCCTTGACTGTTCGGACTAGACTAGCTTGAAAAGCAGGGGAAACGAGAGAAATTGTTGTCGCAGGTGGTACCCCCTTGCATTAACGGGTCTTTTCATGCTCCTCAACGGCAAGATCATGTGGGTCTTCCTGCCTATTTCTGCATGGTGGGCCACTCGCGATAAGCTATCGGAGCGCCAGAACTTTCTGGTGGCGCTGGCCATCGGCTACGGCTACCCAAAGCTGCGCCGGGAGCCTCGGAGCCTCGGAGCCGAGAGCGCGCGGCGCGCAGCGCGCCGCGCCTCAGCTCCGAGGCCTCGAGCGGCTGCTTCCGTCGAAAACCCGCGTGGATCGCCTCGAGCAGAAGTGCTGCAGAGGTGACATCTGTGCGCATTATGTGCGCATGGGCGGTGCAGTGTTGAGCGCAGAGCCCTGAAGTCCTCAGGAGGTCGCTGCCAGCTGCTCGGAACTTCTTGGGCTTGCACCTTGGACCCGTGTGTTGTCATTTTGCCAGTCAGATCCTTATCCAAGCCTTAGTCTTGATGCAGATCCCAGCTGCAACAACATCTTCGTACGATCTTGATGTGCAGATTGATCGGCGTGCTCGGCCTCAGCTGCAGCGGGGACGGTGTGGAAGCTTCCGATGTGAGCTCCGATGCAGCCAGGCTACAGAAACTTCTCTGACTTCGGAAACACTGACGCCACCAACTCCACGTGTTGCTGGCCAGGTTTCCTGAAAGCTCACGGCTCTGCTTAGATACTCGGGCTGACACCACCATGCAGGCTTACATTTGCGGCGGAATTGTTGTTGTGAATGCCATGGAGTGCACCTGCCAGGACAGCAACGAGCGGTGCTGCAGGACACTCGCATGCATCCAACAAGTAAGGAGGGGGTCCGCAAAGGTGCTCTCACGCTGTCCCTTCTGAGAAAGGATGGCAGACTGAGGTCGACATTGATCGTTTGGTTGAGTTGGGTCCGTACAGGTTCACTTCGTACAAGAGTGAGTAACAAGTTCGTAAGTTCTGTCGACAACTGAACCTTCGAAAATGCTTCCGGGCATGGGCTGAGAGCCCTGACAGGAGGCCAGTTCGTGGCGTGGCTCTCAGACACACGTGGGGCAAGGAGCACTCGAGAGCATCGAAGCGCGGAGTCTTCGCAGCGTTCCCAGGCCTTCGGAGGCAGTGGCAACCGTCTTGGCGAGGCTCCGGCTACAGAGATGGAGGCTAGGACCTAGGAGCTGAGGGAAAGACGAGGCCTCCCAGGCACAGGCAGCCCCGACCCGGGCTTTGGGGACAGGCGCGTCCAGCAACTGAGCCTTCCGGCCAGCCGTGACGTCGGTTGATAGAACGGCATGCCCTCAGTTTGGAAGGAAAAGGGTCTTGAATGGGTGGCTACCAATTGTCGGCATATTAATTTATCCACTGACTCGAGAGCCGCCTCGGAACTGGTCCGCGCTTGTGGGGACGGGTGGGCTGGGGGCAGGAAGGAGGAGGGAGGGGTGAGGGGGGGCTACCTACCCCCCCAAATAGCTTCAAACAGCCCACTGCTTGGAGCCAAGAAAATGGCTCTGGGCGGAATCGAGGGGATGGGTCAACAGTAATTACATGAAACCTGCTTAAAAGGATCGGATCTAGACGCCCCAGCCTCTGGCCTCGTCGGATATGCAGGAGCAGACACAATGCCTGGAATCGGGCATAACGGCATGTGGGTCTGAAACGGGTTCCGCGTAAAATCGCCAGCAAAGATCCAATTCAAGACCCCTTCAAGGGTCTGAAATGAGTGCTGCTAGCAGACCCCAGCGCAATCTGAGGGTATGCCAAGGCCCAAGTTGCCAGAGGCCTCGACTGATCTCAGCACGAGGACGAAGTCCCGAAATTTTCTCGTGTCAGTCACTGCACCCCTGTCCGAGGGCTGTCCGTTGCTTCGATTCGAAAAATGTTGGAGCATCTGAGAACTGCTTGATGGTTTAGTGGAAATTGGGCATGCATCTGCATAAAGCATTTCTGGATTCAAGCGGTGGAGCGGGGCTTCCAACGTGAGCCCTGATGCGCAGCACCTTCGGATGGCAAGCAGCTGTCGCTGTCGCAAGTCAGAGCGTAGGACTTGTGCGTACAGACAGCTTTGGCAGTGCAGCCCAAGCCCAGGCAACAAGAGCTTTAAGCTTTGACAAACTGCAGGCACTTGCTTGTGATGTGTGCGCTTTTCGTGAGTTGTCGCATGGGGTTCAGTATGAAGGCCGCCTTGCTTGAGAGGTGTAGACTATGGCAGAGGACTGGGAGATGTTCTTTTGCCGCTGCGCACTAATGTTTATTTGATATTTAGAAACCCCACTTTTCCAGCCCCTTCCTGGGGATGTGGGCTCTAGCCGCTAGCGTTTCTAAGGAGAGTCGTCAGACGCCAGCAATTCACTCCGTGATGGCATTAGAGCATACTTGGCAGCGGCCTCCTGTGCGACAGTCTCGAGACTTGCAAGATTTGCAGGATCGTTCGATTCAGCAAATGCAGTCGACGGCCACGAAGCACGCTAGCTCAGTTGAAGTGGCTGCAGGACTTAACACACAAAGTGAGAAGTTGGCCGCTAGTTGAAAGGCTTATGCAGAGCTCGCCTGGGTTTGCAGAGAAGCTGGCCAGCTCTGCTATGAGCACGGGCCTCCCGAGGTGCACGCATGTCCGTTCATGTCTGAAGCAGCCGTCGAACTTTCTCTCTGTGCTGCGAATGCTTGTGCTCGCAAGGTTAGATACGTACTATGTTGTGTGTGTTCCGAAGCATCCACGGTGTTTCTTGACACAGGGTGGGCTCAGGGAAGGGCGACGACCGAGACAGCATGATCGCCGTGCTGCTGCCACGTTATCGCATGCAAATGCTTGCGCCAGCAGCCAGTGAGCTTGACTCTGCTAAGTTTCGTGGCACCTTCGCCGGCCACATCCATACTAGTCCATAGCCATGGAGTCTGCACAATATAGTTCATGGGCGACTAAGGGCCCTCTGTGTGTTTCAGCTTGTTGGCACAAAACGAGCGTGGTGATGCCCAGCGCCGCAGCCTGACAGCCTGCCATGGGACAAGACGCAAGCGCGCTCAAGAACCAGGTGGAGGCAGAACGCGAACTGGAAAGTGACTGGCTTGAGTTGGTGAGAGAACTGCGTACGAGGTGAACAATCAGTGACATAGGTTATTGGAAAGTGTCTGCAAAAGCCAAGCCTTGTCGTGTTTGAATCCGAGGATCGCAGCATGCCAGCCAAATGGAGATTCTGAAACAGTTTGATCAGAGGACTCATAGTCTCTCGCGCCTGCCGTGAACTGCACGACGGATCGCAGCAGGTTTGTTTGCTTAGTCTTCGGCGCTGTTGACAGGACAAAGGTTCCTCACTTATTGATCGAGCTTCGAAATGTGGGCTACATTGAGACCAGAGCTCAGACGCGGGGGAAGACCTTCCCTAGGAAGACGTACAGATCGCGGCAGCATGCGCGTGACGCCGAGGATTTGTGGCAAGAACATAGGTGGTATCTATGCGAAGCCCTCAGCACTTCTCGTGCCCATGGATTTGATGGTGCGACAGCAAGGACAAGCTTGACAGCTTCTTCAAGACATATTTTGGTGCAACAGAGACCACGTTGGTGATGCGAAGAGTGGTAGATGCCACCTGGCTCTGACCAGCCTGCACGGGACTCCTACATGTGCGTGGGCACTTTCGGAGTTTGCAAAACTTGCGAGGGAACATCTTTCCTTGACTCTAAATACTCCTGTTGCTTTGCTAGTCCGGCAGCCACCGCGAGCACGTTGCGTTGGCGCCCAGCCTGCAGCTTGCTTGTGCTGGCATTTCTGGAACTCCGTCCTTGTCCTCCAGCCTCCGCCTCGCGGTACCGCCTCAGGTTGAGGGACCATCCCACCCTCTGCCGAGGCCATGCGATTCGTTGCAAGCGACGACAGAAACGCAACAGTGAGACAGCAAGCCCTTGGATCGCCGTAGAGAAAACCTCCCCGAGACGTGGCCATCAGAATTCCCGCCCCTGTCCGCAAGCAAAGCGCAACAGTGGCACTCTGTCAAGTTGAGCAGGGGCCACATGTGGCACAGTGACCGCCAAACCACTGCATGGAGCAAGCCAAGTTACAGCTGACGGATCTTGTATGCTGAGGAGCGACGTGGGACTCATGTTTGAGACACACCTGCGTGACATAGTTCGTTTGACATTGTTTTATTAGCAGGATTACGATCATAAATACTGGGAGTTGCGATGCCGCTGCCAGAAGTTCTCAACACCTCATGTCTGATACATAAGCAAAAGACTGGACCACCAAGGCTTGAAAGACGACTCGAAACCAAAGCATCTTGCATCCAGCACTGGACACGGAGTTTTATCTACGGCCGAAACTAAAAGTCACTCTCGCCATACTCAACAATCAAGCCCTCGACAGGCACTGCAGCACGAGTGGGCTCCAGGGCCCAACCCAGGCAAATCTTGCCCTCTGGGCTGAAGTAACTTTGAGGACGGATGCGGCGTCCGGGGCTAGAGCTCATCCATCATGGTTTTCAATCGAAGGTCCTGAGAACAAAACGCGGCAGCACAACATCAGGAGTGGAGAGTCCTGATGCCGAGGCAAAGTCCTTGTCCTCTCCAGCATGACAGTATTTATCCTTTTTCCTCACCCCCCCACTCAACGTGCTGGCACCCAACCTGGCACGCAACAATCAATGACGAGAAAGCACTCTCTGCTCGACCTACCAGAGTCCTCTGCAAGAAAAAAACATCAGGTGCTGCTTGCACAAACCTCCTCCGGAGTACGCACAAAGCGTTGAAATCTGGTGATGCTGTTGAAGCATTGCGTTAAGGAGAACAACTGCTGTGCTGGAATGATGGGACCTCAGCTGGCGATGGCACCCAAAGAGCCTTGTGACGAAGTTTGTGACAAGACCCTTGGCCTTCACTGATTGGTTGGGCTTGCCCTTCTCCACCTGTAGAGCTCCATCGGATCACAAGTCCCGATAAGGAATTATGTGTGCGGCACTCAGAATTCTGATGGCACGGTCGCCCTCAATGGCAAATTCAAAAGCCGCGGCAACGAGGGAGAAAACAACATGGGCTCCTTGGCTTGGACTGGATTCTAGTGACGTAGATGAAGGCGGACTGTGTTTTGAAACAGCGGTTGCCAAACCAGTGGGCGCAGGCCTCATGTGCAAGGTGCCAGACACTGCGAAACTAAGAGCAAAAGGAGGACAAGGGATGGGATAACAGGAAGGCGTGTTGAACCAGCAACAGGTTCGAAGGCACTTGAGGCAAAACCCAGCTGAGCAGCTAGTCATGCTTCGTCTCTGTCCACATGCGTGGGTCATGTCGCCGATTTGAGGAAAGCTGGCTATGGAGGCCAGGATGCCCTTTTTGCATCTGTTGCTTTTGCTTTTGCAGGCTTGCATGGTGTTCAGAGCATTTGTTGCAAGCTGAGGTCATCAACTTTATGACCAACGAGTGTGGATGGGGCTTGCATCTGACGGATGGCGGAAATCTGGGGTACTACGGCCAGATGCGTGAGACGCAGATTAAGTTCAAGGCTCCCCATCCGCTGTAACTCGTCGGAAACGGGCGGCTTCCTGAGTGGTTGCGTTTTTTGACAGTTTTGTCCGTCTTGGCTCCTAGGAATTTGATGGCGCCCCACATCATGATCGAGTTGAGGCGGCTTTGCAATGAGTAGCCGCAGTCGGAGAGTCCTGCCACAGCCACGGCAGCATGAAGACTTCTGAGAGCACAGGCCTGTACCCGAGCCTCATTCAGGTCTGCCGGGTACATAGAAGTGAATGGCTTTGATACAGACGGGATCTACGGGAAGATTGAGGACTCGCTGTGCTCTGTGAGATTGTTGCATTACGCCAAAGCCTCATTGGATACGTGCGGACTCCCCTGCTTTTCGCAGCTGCGCAGGACTTTGTCAGAAAAAAGTGGGGTGGCTCGAGAACAGGTGCCGACAAAGACTACTGTGACCTCAAATTCTCGACCAGCGCCTTCAAGAAGAGAGGGACGCAGGGGGAGAACAACATGGGTATGAAGACGATGGAGCTTGTCGACTTCATGACCAAGGAGTGTGCGTGGACACTGCTGACATGCACGGGTGGGAACTATGGGTTGACAGGGAGTATGCGAGAGCAACAGATGGTTTTCCGAAACGCTGCCTGCCTGAATTTGCGCGAGGGCTCGATAGGCCAACCCCACAGCATGTCTCAGTAATGTCCAGCCTGCAGTCTGGAGTCAAGAGGAGCGTGCGATGCATCGAAGCTTTAAGGACGCTTTCGTGCAGCACGGCGAGCAGCACATCATGATCGAGCTGCGAGATCAGGGCTACGTGGAAATCAACGGCTTGCACGATGCACCGGAGGCAGCCAAGCAGCTGGAGCAGTTCTACCAAAGCCAGGGCTGCCAGGCCACGCTGGGCGCTGCTGTCGCCGCTGTCGGGCGCTGTCTCTGTCTCCGCCGTGTGGTCAGGGTTTTACTTTTGTCTGTACTCGGCCGAAGCGGCTAGACGAGGCTGTAGTGTAATTTCGCATGTGTTTGCTCGATAATCTTGATACTGTGTCTGCAGCATAATTCGCCACCTACCCAAAAACGGACAAGTCGCATGTAGTTCCTGCTCGTACACCCGTAAACCCGAAAACGGTGGTTTTCGCACGATGTCCATGCCTAGGGGCCGCGAAGCATCCTCGGTCATTCGTGCAGGTGTACCAACCAGGGTTCTGGGAGTCCTCTGAGAAGACACTTGTCTGCAGACGTCGCAGTCGCATCAGGGTGTTGCAGATGCTCCGGCCTGATGCCCGCCAAGGTACTGCGATGTGAAGTATCAAACTCCTCCGGGTTGGTTTTATAAACAGGGAACTACGAACAATCTCGGTCCCTGAGCTGATATTCAGTTGGATACAGGGATGCTGCAGAAGCTTTGCAAGACGAGGCAAACGTACCATTGAAGTTGCAAGCTATCTGGGGCAGATGGGATGGATGCTGCTGCTTTGCAATGGTGGCAACATTCATTCAGGCACCGTTCGACTGTGGTCTCAAGAATGGCCGGGGTGTGGGTGTAGATGAAGCTTGAAGCGTAAGCCTGGGCCAGGCAACAACAACAAAAACATCATGCGCGAGCAGCAGGTGAAATTCACAAAGGCTCGACCGAGCGACAACGCTGCAGCCCCGCTCCTGATGATCGAGCTGCGAACGATACCGACGAGCATGCACGGCCACTATTCAGGGTTCATCGAAATAAATGGCCAGAACACAAACGGTGTGTACCAGCAGGCCGGAATGCATTGCTGCCGGAAAGATTGCATTCACGTTGGTAAAAGTCTTGTGTGCAACTGCAGCACGTTAGTGTGCAAGAGGTTATCCAATACATGCAGCAAACGATGCTGTGCACGCCGCTGGGTCCACAGCCGTATTGTGACTGTGCGGCAAAGTGTTTGCTTCCTGCATCTTTATGAACACGTGAAGAATAAGCTTGCCTTCTCGGTTCCTGATCGAACCTGCGTGAAGGTGACTTGCTCCTTCAATGCAACTGCTTCCGTCTCAGCCGCTTTGTTAATTTGGAATGGTCTCAAATTGGCCATGCTCCCATGCACGTCGTCGTAGTGGAAGCTCTGCTTTTGCTTGTGCCCTTTCAGAGATCCGAGGAGAGGCCAGTACAATGTGGCACACCCGCAATGGACGCCTGAACGGTGAGAGCAACTTTGGAAGGCCCATGCTCGTGTTACACGGCTGCGTCAGATTCATTCTCCGAGCGGCGCAAGCCGAAAGGTACACCATGAGGCTTTGTGATTTCATGGTCGATCACCTGGGTGAGTGGGACCTGATCGTGTGCAACGGCAACAGCGTGGATACTATCTTCCGCTATGGAAAGGACCTGGTCCAGCAATGATCAGCAATGAGCCTTGAGTAAGCCATCAGAAGCATCAAAGACGTTTCTCCACGACGGTGTCACCTAATGCGATGCAGGACAGCACAATGAGCGTCACTGGTCGCGAGCAGCAGCTCATCTTCAGACATCGGCCAGGCAGCTTGGAGCACACGCGTCGCATCCGAAGTCTTGTGCTCAGCCAAAGCTCGTCTCAAAACTCAGGTGGACGAAACGTGTTCATGGCTCAGGACGTGAATGTGGCGAAGCTGGGTCGTGCTCCTCTGCTGCCACCGAATTATTGGAAGGAAAGCACCAGGCCCAAGGGACCAAGCAAGCCGGCATGCTGACTTGCTTCTGTGCATTCTGCTGGTCAAGACTTGCTGCAGGACAGGATCGGTCGGCCAGGAAATCGTCCCCGCCACGGCTGAGGAGGTCTCGTGGATTCAGGAGGTCCTGGACGGCACCTACAAGAAGAAGTCCACGCGAGACCGCTCGGGTGGTCCGTTGGCAGATCGCTTTGTCGTGGTTTCCGCTTTGAGATCGGAGCATCCAGGCCAGCCCAGTCAAGAGTAGAGGACCTTGCGGGCTTTGCAAATCTTGGCACATGTGACAGGCTTGTGGGACAAGTTTGCAGAAAAAAGGAACAAGGTGGCTTGCACGGAATATGGGGATGGCCATCTTAGTTCCTTATTTATCACTGAAGCGTTACGCCGAGGTGGCCACGGAGATCAAGAAGCGCAGTACTGTTGAGATTGTGGAGCCGAAGACGATGAAAGCTTGCAGCGCCTTTCAAGAGAGGCCAGAGTGAGGAAGAGAGGCTTCAAGCAAGACTCAACTGTAGCGGGCCTCCAGGTGCACACATCCACGCCTGGGCAACCCAACCAACGAGGCCTTCAGAGTGGGGAAGCTGGCCTTGTCGTTCCCTGCTCTCCCTGCAAGGCGTATCTTTTCCACGGGTCGAATCCCACTTCCGCAATTTCGATCTTGAGCACTTCTTTCAAAGTGGATTTTGCCGGCGCAGCTGTTGGGACGATGTTTGGTCCTGGCGTCTGCCTGGCGGAGTTGTCAGCTTTGGGATGGTGCCCAGTGGCCAGCACGCTGCCAGGTCTACTTGGCGGAGTCTTCTGCGAAGTCGGATGTACCTTGGCAGAAGTCCTGACATCAGGAAGTCGCATCACCCCACGGCAAGGACTATTAAGCATCATACATAGGCAGACAGAACCGCATGCCATCACGTGCTGCATACCGAGAAACCCTGCTGTAGAAGGCCAACTGCTTTTCTCAATTGGGCATGTCATATTTTGAAATCGTAATAGATAGCTTCTGCAGCGTCGAGACGGGTTCCTGTTCGTGCCCCACAAGGAATATGCGCGAGACGAAAATACGGGTGGTGCTTATGACGGCCTCTTCGCAGTGCTGCTTTGCAGGGTCGTTGTTGGAAGCTCGTATGTTCCTCAGCTGCAAGAGTTTCTTGGGCATCTGTGCGATGCAGACTGCCTTGTCGTCCTCCGGCAAGTGCATTTCAGGTTGTGGAGAAGCCTGGAGACTACACAGAAGCTTGGCTTTTCTGCGCGGACGCTGTGTGTTGGATTACTCCTGTCCAACCATCTGACTGTGTCTTGCACCGTTCAGACACTCTCAGGAAAAGTGTACTTCTGGCGAGTTCGACAGCGTTGTCGGGGATCGTGAAAAAGCAGTCGGTACGTTTCGAGACCCTCGGCTGCAAAGTTGGTGGACAGCCCCAGTCATACAGAACCAATGGTTGCGCATGCCATCATTATCCGTCATTGCAGGAGTTTATTGTCTTCGACGAAGCCTCCATCTATCCAGAGTGCCCGTCTATGGTGCAGTCAGTATGGTGCCCCGAAGACAGACTCGTGTCGAGGTACGTGGCTTTCTACCGCAGAGAATACAAAGATGGACCTCCGCCACCCAAAACGCCGACGCCGGCACCTTCCTCGTATGCACCTGCACAACACGCAAGCCTGGCATGGTTGCATTACGAGCGATACGTAAGAGTATTGCTATGCTTCACTTGGAGCCTGCCCGCAAATGAATGGTCACTGTAGCTTGAAAAAATCGCCAGAGCATTCTCGCCGTCGGATGCTGCCTGCATTGCTACTGTGGCAGGCAATGCCTGGTGAAGCGCGGACGATGCAGGTGCGAGGGTGGCTGAGGGATTGACGGCCTTCTGAATACCAATGCCCGACTCAGCTTGCTTTCTGTCTTGCCAACTGCCAATGTGCTGCAAGCGTCAACTTCGCTCTCAGTCGTGGACGCAAAACTTTACATGATGCTGTGGTCTCGGAATCCTTCCGGTATGGCAAGCCTGGCCAGGTGCAAATCCCGGAGGGTGTGGAGCCTGGAGCCCGGATTCAGTGCAAGGCGCCTTGGGGCGCTGCTTGGCTGGAGACGACGAGCATGAGGTTTGTGGTGTTCGTACTTGATGCATGGCTTGTGATGGTCTGCAGCTGAGGACACGCTGGAGGTTGTAGTTACCGAAGGGATGACTCCTGGGCAGCTCATTACAATAAGCGCGTAATTACTGCGCGTCTGAGCTTAGGGATTCGCACAAAGAGGCGCTGCGAGTTTGTCCGAAGTTGTGCGGACGAACCGTTTTAGGCGTCCCTGTCATGAAATGACATTGGTGGATGCTTCCGGCATGGATTCCTCAAGGGATTCCAGTCTGGTCACCGGCCGCATACTGTTTGCACATGCTGAGCATGATTTTCCGTACGTTGTCTGCCTCAGCGATGAACAAACATCGGTGGTATCGGTTTAGCACACCGTGCAATCGTAAGGAGAGCTCGTGATAGCCAAGCAGTTGCAGTGAGTCTGCAGGAACTGCTTTGCCAGGAGCTTCAGAAGCAGTTGAATGAGGAAAAGAACAAGAATCGAACTCTGGAGGATCAGCGTGTCTCTCAGAAAGCCTTCAACCGTCGCAGACGGTGAACTTTGGCGTTGATTCGCTTGTTCTTGGGGGCGTGGGAAAATGCTTGCAAGGTACAAGCACCGAGTTGCATCTTTTGCCATCCCCGCCATGTTTGCTGGAACTTGTGGTGTCGAGTCGCATTCTTTACAGAGGTCCGAAACGGAGCATCGTGCTTGCCAGGTCAAGCGTGAGAAGGCGACCATGTGACGCAGCTGCATTATGCACCGCTTGCATACCTTCTACCATGGAGGGTTCTGCTGGTTTCGGTAATACCGGGTTGAAGAGTCTCGGTACGGCGGAACACTCTCCAGCCCCGAGTACCTAGGTCGCATGCAACAACGAACGCGCGGCGAGTTGAACCTAATTCGGTTTCGGATCTCGGGTTGATGGCTTATCGTTTTGCTGTGGGAGCTATCTAGGGGAGAATCAGTACATGCGGGGCTGCGGAAATTTCGACTGAGCCTTGGCCTGGTCGGGATGTTCGGGCCATCATCATGTGGAATCTTGCACTCAGCCTTGGACCAAAATGGCGAAACGCCGGCTGAACAGAACCGATCAGAGCCGAATGAGCTCCTATGAGCTGCACTGGAGCCACGGTTCCCGAGGTGTGCGGCCATGCGAAGATACATATGGGTGGTTGTCAAAATTATGGTCCCTTTTTTGGGTCCTTATTATAATACGGCACTTATTATTTAGTGTACCCCAAAAGGGACCATAATTTTGACAGCTACCCATATGCAGTCGTGGGCACTCCGGCATTTGTAAGTCCAAAGGCCCCGGCCCTTCCGGCTTCGTCAATGCTAGCTAGCAGCTAGATGCGATGTGCTTTGTCAAACGCAGCAGGTGTTGTAAAATGTTGGTTCCATCATTGGTGGCAGCAATGGTAAGACTGTTACATAAGCGAGAAGCATCGGTAGGACAATTGCTATTATCAGTGTGTGCTACTAGTACTTGTAGCAAAGTGGGCAGTGTGGAAGAGAGACACCGGCACAGAAACATAGAAAACCAAACCAGGTCTGCGTGTGCTGTGTTGGGCCTCGACACACCGAAACATGGGCCTGGGCATGAAATCGAAAACTCTAATGCTACGTTTGGAGATGATTGGGGTTGATTTCTAGCTTTCGATTCAACCAGAGAGAATCAAAGCTTGGATGCAAACAGCAATAGCATTGCCAGAGTTTCCTGTCCATTCCAGCAGACCGGCCTGGCCCGAACTGCACCATTGCCTTCCCGTTGACCCGACTGGGAAAGAGTGGCTAAGGAACAAGATAGAAGCGCTGGAGAAACGACTGCTCGAGGGTGCGGAGAATGACGAGCACAGCATCTTGGTAAATCTTATGCCGCGGTGTGCTTCGAACGATTCAGCCGAAATTCAGTCTAGCTCGGGGGGGGGGGGGGGGGGTAGATGCTGGACTCATGCATCCAGTCTGCTTGTCAAGGCAAGCGCATGGAAGCCATTGGCAACATGCATAGAAGCGCGCGCGCCTCGAGCGGGAAGTCGCGGAATCGGGACAAATCATGTGAATATCAGGCCCTTGCCTATAACTTGGATTCAGGTGATCACTGGGCTGGAGTGCATCCAAACCAATACGGCAAAGATCCTCCAGGCTTTGAGCATGCGACTTCGCAGGCAGGTGTGGATGCCGCACGCGTTCCCAGGACCAGGAGAAGGACTTGATGCGTGCCTTCAGAGCAAGGCTGCAGGAGGTCTCCAAGGCCAGGACGATCGCAGGTAGAAATGGCAAAAGCGCGACATGGTACAATAAGGATATACGAAAAAGTAGGGAAATAGACAGCTTTGTAAAGTAAATAGCACGCTAGAAGGATACGTTAAGACATTGATCTCCTGTGTTCGCTCGATAGTGAAAGGGCTCTCAAGGGTGAAGAGAGCCTCCAACCCATTCCGGACCGGAAGCCAAATGAAACTCTTCCTACTGAGAGCACTGCCTGTTGTAGGAGCAGACCCGTCCGCATAGGTGGTTCGGGCTTAGGTTGAGGATGGATACACTTATGTCACCGCAAGAGCAGTCGCCATCCTAACCCAACACTGCATGTCTCATACTCCACCACTGGCATATGCACCAACCCAATCCTATAGCTCCACCCCAGATATCCAACTATTGCTCTAGATCCTCAACCCCTCCCACGCTTCTTGACCCTCTGGGAGGCAGCCTGCATCAGATTTTTGTTGGGAGTCGGTCTGCATGGGCTCACATCCTTGGAATCTCTTGGCTCGTCGGAGACTTTGAGGACTTGGAGGCGCAGCGCAGCAGAAAAGGTGAGCACTCCACCGAGCTGCGGGCCTGGACAGGAAGCTTCAAGACAAGGCGAAGGCGCTGTTTCAGAGTGAACGGTGACTGAGGCAGCAAGCGCACCATCGAAGGGTGGTCCATGCCTCATGGAGTTCTGGTCCCTCGCAGCCTTTGCAGCCTGCGCTGTGTTTGTAAGGTTGCCGAGTTGCACAAAACGCAGGAGAGTATGCACTATGGCATTCAGCGACATGGCCGTTTGCCCGTAAAGATCGGTTTATTGTGCCCTAAACTCTTGATTGAGGGACGAGACATCTGCACAGGAGTTAGCTCAGACCTTCGACAAGAAGAACCAGCAGCTTACAGCGGAAAATGCGAAGCCCCGCCCTCGCCCTCGCTGTGCGCAGATCCAGCTCTTTCCGAAGCTTGGCACCCGAGGCTGCAGGAAAAACTGAGGACGCGTGAGGACGACCGCAAAGCACTGCTACGTGAACTCGTCCTTTCCAGGAGCGCACGGTGACACATACATAGTGACACTGCGCAGCACCGACCTAGGCAGAGCCCACGTTTTGTCTGAATGCTGCAGGCAGATTTCGATCGAAGCCCCTCATGACATGCTTTTCGCAGCAGTGGGTCTCGAATCTTGCAACCAGGAAGGAAGTCCAAGCGCTGAAGTCGCAGCAGGCTTCCGGTGCGAAGCCTGCCAGGACCCAAGCCCTTGACTCCAGGGGCCGTTGCGCTTCCTTTGGATCTTGACAACAATTGGCCAGCTTGCCATGATCCCAGCCTCTTGCTTCTAACTCACCTGCGACACTACTCGCGAGTAGTGAAGCTCATGGTAAGAGTGGGTTTCTGCAGTCATGTGGAGGAAAGTAAACGATGTCGCTGCGGCGGCTCATGTTGCATGAGCCCGGCAAAAGACACCCAAAAGGCTTTGTGTTTTCCTAGAGGCCCGGAAACATACACAGGCTCCCCATTTAACTGCAGCCGAGCGTGGTTGAGCTCAGTTTCGTATTGATTTACCGAGACTGTTAACCTGAAGAGATCCTGAACTAGTAACTAGTGGGAGTTTGCATCATGCACATCGACCAGTCACGCCCCTGTGCCGAGGCCGAAGTGCCTGAAGCCAAGGAGGCAGAGCCCAAGCCCAACAGGTGCTGGTCTGAGGGTTGTAACCAAAGCGCAGACCATGCTGTCTCGAACATTTTATCATGCTGCGGAAGATCTGCCGCAAATACGACTGTTTGTGAGGTAAGCATTGACAGTTTGCCATGGCTCCACGCCCGCCCGCCTTCGCTACCGTCGAATTCAGACTCGACATTGCGTGACATGGCACGTTCGCGACAGTATGTTCGCATCCTGCACCTGGGTGTGGGAGGACTTCTGTGCAGTGGTTCGATGTCCGTTGTCCTGCAGGCGGAGTTTCTCTCAAAAGCAGATAGATCAAGCGAGGCTTCAGCAAACGCCGGGGCCTGAAGCAGCTCACGAAGCAGCTTGACCTTGCTATCCGATCAGCTGTTTCTGCCTAGGCATAACAAGCAGTACGAAAGGGAGGCTGGATGCAGGCGAAAGAGAAGCTTGAACGAGACATGGCCATTGCGACTTGGCAGGTAGCTCTGCGAGAGGCAGCTTTAAAGCTGAAGCGAATGGTGGATGCTGCCAGCACCTCAGCGCGGCATAGGCTGTCGGCAGAGGGATGCGAAAAGTACGGGTCGTGAGACCCATATTTTGTATTCTCAGTGCTCCTGTGCGATGGGCAGCCCGAGGAGCGGCGAACCGTCGTGGCGCTGAAGCAGCAACAGGTGGTCAAGAGAAGGGAAGAGACGGCGAGCAATTTGTTCCGAGATGCAGTGTCCGCTGCCACAGCCAGGCTGACATGTTGCAGCAAAGAACGGAGCTGGAGGTCCTGCTCCGACAAAGCTTGGATGATGTGAAGGCATCGTCGATCATCGTCGCATGTCATATCATGTTATGATGGAGCAAGCAGAGCCAATAGCAGAGCCTTTGGGCACAATGGTGTGAGCCACTTCGCAGGCAGAAATCCTGCGGCCGCGCTCTCGTCTGTGACATCATTTGGCGCAAATGCATTCGCCCAGAGCACGGTGGCCGCTGCCCTGTGAGGATGCAGATGCAGGAGGAGGGGAAGGACGGCGGTTGACAGTGCACCTTTCACGGCTTTGGTATGCCTTGTGTCGCTGCAGGACGCGACCGTCCCGGGAGGTTCTAGCCCACCTCTGGCATCAGTGTCCCGGGCCTTAAAGTGCAGTCCGCTTGCAGCATGTTGCGATGGAGGAGGCTCCTGCTCTGGTTTCGTGCATGCTCCGCGAAAGGTCTGTTCACGAGCTGAGCGCCCAAGACCGTGAGCGGGCCGAGTGCTCACTTGGCCCACCGGATCCCCTTCAGCCCTGCACCTCTGGGCGAAACCAGCGGGGGCGGGGGCCCTCACGTGTTTTCTTTTCTCAGGTCCTGGAGCTCCTCCTCTCGCAGCAGCGGGTCGTCCTCTCCTCAGTCATTCTGCAATTGCACTGGGGCAAGTGCAGAATGCATGTGGCCAAGGTGCAGCTGCTTTATCAGAAGACTTTTCCTCAGGAGCCTGCCAATCCTCCAGCCGCTCGCTTGCAACTGTGCAAGTCGCAAGCCGCAACTACAGACGCATGATGCTTGCAGGCCTCTGCTCCTTCTCAGAGTGCTACATTCTCAGAACACGCGAGCTCGTGTGCTTGGGCACTTGGCGTTGATAAGTGCATAACACCGCAGCGACTCAGTCGATTTTGAGGTGAAATAATCAGGCGCCAAGCAGAGTCTGAAATTCCTTAAACCATCGACGGGCAGCACTGTGCAGGAGCGAGTTTGCGGGGAACAGAGTTCCTGAAAGTTGTAACAGGGCAATGCAGAGCAAGTTCTGCTTGCAAGCTACAGTCGCATGTGCAGTTGCAGAAGTCGCAGCAGAGGCCGCAGCGGGTGATGAGTTTGCATGGCTGGGTGACATCATCCCATCCGACGAGGGCGAAGTCGGCCCCTAGATACGGGGAAGCGCTTCAGCACAGCAGGTCTATCTTTCCAGGATGTACCAAATCAGAGACAGGTTTCCGCCTTATCCCACAACGTCTCACTTCTGTGTCACCCTCGAAGACTTGGTGTCGACTCCACATGATTTATATACAGGGCCCCCTAAAAGGTATCCACCCAGAGGGTTTCTTGTGTTGGATTTGTCTGGACGCCAGATGACGCCAGGCTCTCCGCAGAAAATGCGTGTGCTCTTAGGTAGGATCCAGTACATGACGCCGACATGTGACATGTGCGCTGCTCTGTCGAAATAAAGGAAGCAGGTCGTCTTAGCTGTTAGAAAGCTACTGCTTCAGCGATGCCATGGTGTGCGGGCGCCGAGAGCTTCAGCTCGCTTGTGAGCGGGGTCTGCCATGATTCTGATCGCACTTTCCTTGGCCATCTTGGCCTGCTGGTTGCATCCAAGGCACAGGCTGTCCGTAGACCTTCTAAAGCGTGTCGTGGATCTAAGGTTTGTGGCCTGGGGTTGGGCAGAGGACCGCTCTCGAGGTTCCGCTCTTCCCGTTGCAGCCTGCATTGTTTCGAGGAGGGACACTCGACTCGAAGCGTGTTCTCTACGTGCACGCTCGAGATGGTTTAGAGGACAAGCTGGAGCCTGATGACATCGGGGCCTGCCTGGCCCTGCCGGTGTCGACCCTCCGAAAGGCGACGCTGACAGCGATATCGGACATCTTGAAGAAGCTCGGCGAAGTGATGGAGACTTCTGCCGAGAAAGGCCAGGAGCGCTTCCTCCTCTTTGCAGCTCTCGAGCTGACCAGCGCTGGAGCCGCTCCCACGCACTTTTCAGTGGAGTTGAGCCAAGCTCGCCGCAGTCTTGCCGCTGCCCGTCTCTAAGGTTCGCCTGCTGGATGCGACGTACCTTCACTGCTGTGAACGGCTTGGCTGTGAAACCTGCCGGCTCAGCCGGAGCGCAGAGTCGGAGGAGTCCGGGCCTGAGACGGAGCGCTCCGAGAACTGGAGAGCTTTTGGAGCGAGAAGACTCAGGTCCTCTTTGAGTTTGCTCGAGTCCTTCGGCCGGAAGGCTGCCGCTCTCTGCCATCTGGTTGAGTCCTCTGTCGCTCTGACGACATCGACACTGGAGATTCGCCAGAGGGAGCCGCCAATCATCAAGAGAAGAAGTGCGACACAGCAAGTTAGACATGCGCTGGAGGACAGGGTGCCGACCAGACTAGAATCGTCTCCGGGGCGTGCTCGAGTCCATCAGACCATGAAGTAGAGGAGCATGACGTTGGGAGGAGTTGCTGACAGCAGACATCTCGGTGGGCCTCGAGGTACGATGGACGATCGTGGGGTTAGGATAAATCAACGAAAGCTCTCAAGGAGCTTTTCCAGTTGTCTTTCAACTCTTTTATCAATGAAGCTCTGGGTCCGCAAGCACCTTCAGGGCCTTTAGGTCTGATCAATCAATGGTTAACGGCATGTAGAAGGTCCCAAGCTTTCTTGTGGACTGATTGAACGTACTTGAGTTAGGGCAGGGCAGGGCAACCTCCCGCCACCTTAGTCTTAAAAACCCCAATCCTTTTAATCGCTTTCGGTGAAACATGTACTTGGCTAGAGGGTTCAGTGTAGAGGTGTGTGTGTGTGTGTGTGTGTGTTTTTGTCTGCCTTTCGGCGAGTACCGCTTCAGACCTTGCCGCGTTGGGATATGCAGCCTGATGGTTCCTGCCAGCTGGCAACGATTCAAAGAGCCTGCGAGTTTCTCCTCCCCCCTCATGCACTCTAGCTAGCTTTCGCAGCCACCTCTTGGGTTCGTCGTGCGTCCGTTGCCACTGTGTCGCTGGCATGGATGCACAAAGTGCAAAGTTGTCCTCAGCTTGATCCTCTTTGATACTGCAGTTTGCTTGCTTGCCTGCTGAAGGAGCTTCCTCCCGGTGACGAAGCGTTCATCAATGTGGGTGGCGTAGTGGGCGCATGCCTCAGATGCATCTAGGTGGTATTTCTTGCTTTGCGAAACCGACATCATCGGCTCTACTTCCGTTGTTCGTGGCTGTGCAAGGCCAGACCGTGCGGCTCATAATCTTGCAGCTGCTGGACGCAATCCCAGACATGGCCTCCGAAGTTCGCCACCTGCCCAAAGGAGTGGATGTGGCTCTGCTGCCCTGCACGCTCTTTTTCCGAGATTGCTGAATTAAGCATGCTATCTTCTTTTGCCTATGATGGCTATGTCATGAATGGCTTTGCCGCAGACTGGAAGGAGTGCCAGCATGGTCGCAGCTCGCCGCCGCAGAGGTTCTGAAAGCGAGTGGAGCCAGCAGCGCAACCCTGCAGGTCGGAGCCACGAGCCATCGCGAGCCCATGTGTCTTTTGTGCTCAAGTCAAGTGCTGTCACACGCAGGGTAGGAGTAAAACACTCCAGAGCTCTGGAGGAGATGCTGTTCCTTCTCCCGCTTCCAGCAGGCTGAGGCTGTGGTTCCGTAGGACTGTGCGCGATGGGGATGCGACCAGGCTGGCCAGCGACCAGGGCATCGCCCCTCTGCGAGAAGCGCTTGCTGGAAAGCTCCGGACGAGGCGGAGAAAGAGCGAGGGCACGAAGAGGAATGAGAAGTCAAAAGACAGACTGCGAGATGAAGGAGCACGGCAAGTGCCTGCAGACACACTGGCAGTGCACGCAGGAAGGGAGGAGACAGAGTCAGGAATCCTTCGTGCATAACAGACCCGCCACAAGGCAGAGACCAAGCTCAAATTGCTTTCGCTCGAAGGGATGCGGCAGCTACGACCACTTGGCTGGGAGCCCCTTGGTCTAGCGACGCGGTAGACGTTAGACGTGACCGTTCTCGTCTCTGCCGTTCCGCTGCAAGGGCTCCTTGTTTCGGATGTTGCGCCGGTGCTGAGGCGTCGCCGAGTCAGCTGCTGAAGATCATTGCGACCTCCGGGAGGTGTAGACCTTTGAATCCTGACTGTGAGCTGTTCAATACTCAGCCTGGTCCGGCTCCCTTTGGCCACTTGGTCAGGCCGGTTCATCGCTCGTACGTGGCGGTGTGGCCCCAAGGTGTTTTTTGTGACGTCGTCGAAATCCCTTTGAGAAAGATTCCCTGAGATTACCTGATGCTCTCTGACTTAGATTCGCCAAGCGGGTCGCTTCGGCCAGGAGGCGAGTTGTGAGGAATCCGTGGCTTGTCCTTGTTTAACCTCCAGCACACTCGCAGTCAAGTTCGTGTACTTCTCAGAACTTGTCTACAGGAGTTACCTTGTCATTCATGGCAGTTGTGGATTGCTTTTGGGACGAGCACAGTGAGGCGACGACAAGCCCACCGCGACCTGCCGAGGTGGGGATCCTCTACGACCCGACGCTCTGCCTTGACGACGAGCTGGGGCTCAGCGGAGTGGCGCGCGGGACTCCCCGGGGGCCTGGGGAGGAATACTCCGAAGAGGTCTGCATTGTCTGCATATATCATGATATATCATGAGGTCATAGGTCATGGGTCGTGGGCAGATATAAGACGCAAGATGCGGAGACGTGAGCTTCCTAAGCATCCTTCTGGTGGCGTTGCCGACTCTGTCCGGTGAAGCCCACTGCCTCCGCAGATCTATTTTCTGACCATGGACCCGGAGATTGACGACCCTCTGTACGTCAGATGGATTGGGCGAGTGACCACCTTGGCTTGATGGAGTAGAGGCAAAAGCCGCTGAAAAGTAAAGAAGCATGCGGTGTTCATGTGTGATCGTCGGAACCATGGTGTGAAACTGGCAGAATCTTCAATTCTGCCATAAAGCACTAGATCACTAGATCAGGCCGTGGAAGCTTTAAATGCGTGGTCTTGACAAAGCGCCGAGGCCTGGTCGGGGCAGCGGTCCAAGGAGCGACGGAAGCTCTTCGTCTCATCGGCTTGACTCGGTTTTAAGCTTTAAAGGCTAAAGCGGCTAAAGGTCTCCATCCCGCAAAATCCACTTCCATGGCAAACACAGCTGCTCGACCGAAAGTTGCACACACATACACATGTTTGTGAATCACCGAGCCCGTTGAACCCGAACGAGCAGGCATCCAGAAATCGGAGAGACGGACCGGCAACAGTGATAGCATCTGAATCTGAACATGCAAGGAGCAGCCCGTGTGGCAGTCAACAATGGATCCGATCATGCCGCCTCCTGACCCCTACGACCTTATGTTCTTCTGCCATGTTTGGGGCTGAAGATTCCAGAAAGATCCCGGCAGGGGCAGCTGGGCATGCAGGATGTGGTAAAGTACGAGCATGCTTTAACCATCCATCGCTTGAAACGCTGACAGATCGCTGAACCCAATGGCGGGAAATTGCCGGACGATATGGCAGATCCTGCAGGCTCAGCCCCAAAGCGTTTTTCTGTGACGTAGAGGCGCATTAGGGCCGGGAAGGCTGTGCGTTTCGGGCTTCGACCGGCCGTAGTTGCTACCTTGGACATGATGGAGAGAAGGCACAGAGTAGCTTTACAGGCTTCTTTTTTTACATCACAGCTCCTGCTCTACAGGAGAGGTGCTTCGATTCTGTGCGAAAGCAAAGCTCTGCAGGCCGACAGCATCAGCACGGCGAGCATCGTGTACGTGCCCGTGAATCCAACCATTCCTCCGCCGCTGGAGGCAAGATGCTCCGCTTGGAGAGTGAGCTCATGTTGGCATGATCGCAGCTGCGATGCAGAGGTGATGCCAAACTTCACGCACTTCTACATCTGGCACCGGCGCAAGTCCAAAGCGGCACGGAGGGTGCGGTTCCCAGATTTCACACAAGCTGCACCTTCCGGCCGCGCTGGGGACGTTGTTGCAGGTTGGTATGGATCGATTCATCAGCAACCTTCAGGCATTTCGAAGGTACATTGCTGCGCAGCCCTTCGCTCAGTCGCTTCCTGCCCTGGATGTGTATTTCCAGAATGGGGGATGAGCGTCGTGTCGTTGTGAGAGAGTTGAGGTGCTCGCTTGAAACGGTTTCCAAGCTCTTGCAGCCGCTGGGCCCGCGCCCCTGGGGCCGGAAGCTGCCGATTCCACCGCTGCAAAAGGAAGGCCTCTCATCCGCCAAGGCTATGAGCTCCTGTACCTTGAGCACTTTGTTGCAGCCCGGTCCCCGGACATCTGTGGCCAGAAGCTGTGGAGCGGCAAGGAGCCGTGCTGCCCGCCAGGTGCTTGTTCACCAGCGCGTGGTGTCCTTGGTGCGGCAGCATCTCGGTCAGCCAGGCCTGCACCAAAAGGGGTTGATGGCAGTTGCCGCAAGGACGCTTGAAGAGCCTCTAACGGCTTTGCACCGTTGGAGCCCCCACTCGGGCAGGCACCACACCATCTACCTTTGAAGTGTGGCGTCAAGGCAGTGCCCTGTTCTTTCAACAACGCACGCCTCACAACAGCTTCTTTGAATCATGCATGAAGAGCGCTTTGCTGCCTTGAGACATCGCTGTCTCGCAGTGTCGCCCGACAAGGCTGGTATTGCTCGCCCTACTCCCGGTACATGGACCACTTGGAGGCACGGACACCATATTCACTAATCGTCACGGCACCTGCACAGACAAAAGCGGGAAGTTTCCGGGAAGTTAGGGAAAGACAGATGAGCAGACGCTGATGAGCTTGCCCGCAGTTGTTTGAGTGGTATAAAGCGTTCTAGACGGTTGTCCCATATGTCGTATCTCGCACGTCCCACTCGAGGTGGGTGTTGGCTTCGATGCGACCTGGCTGAGCCGGAAGCTGTGTAATCGACCAAACCAGGAACTTCTTTTCAAGGGTTTTTTGGCTTCCTAGGTCCAGAGCCAGCTGGACCGTCCCAGAAAGGTCTCGGCTGTTCAAGGCCCTCCGGGGCGAGACTGGGATCCACAGGTGGCTGCTGCCTGAAAGTGTGCAGTTTCTGATATCTTCTTGTAATTCTAGCTGTATTCGCTTTGACATACAGGGGGCACGCATCTCCCAAGTCACATGATCCATTCTCCACAGGTCCTTCAGGGAGTTTCTCGCTGCGGAAGGGCACTTGTCGGCCTTGCATGTTTACTGCAGGGTATGCACTTCTCCCATGATTGGTTCTGATAAAACCCCCGCGGGCTTTCCTCGTCTTTTGCTTCTTTGATCCAGGATATCCGGGAGCTACACAGGCAAAGACGTGTGCGATGAGGACTATGGGGCGCAGACAAGTGCAGCACAGTGGTTGCAGCACCAGATGGTGTCAAGTATGCTTGGCGACGATCTCCAGCTTGCCATTTTGCTCAGGAGCTGCCAAGCACTTCCAGAAGCATGGCGATGCAGGTGTGGCTCTGTGAGTGCCGTCCTTGCAGCACTGTTTTCCAAGTTGCTCCGCACAGGCCGTGCAAAGAAGATTGAGGCTACTGCGTGGAACTGCCAGCGCAGGAAAGGGGGTGGCATCTGCGGAGGCGCGGAAGACGGACTGCAGTAGTACAGCTGCGTATCTAAAGCGGAAGGAGAATCATGCGACCACACGTTGTGGAGCATCTGGAATTCTGAAGGGGGATAGGTGTTCGGCAATGCAAGGTAACGCATGACTAGATTTCATGCTGCTCGAATGTTTCAGGTGTAGGTGCAAGCACCAGTATTCGCGAATGTGAATGTGGCATGTTCCGTGTGTTTGTCGAGTCGACCTCATGTTAGAATCGCAGGCCATGGACATGCAGCCAAGAGCAAATGCTGCCTGGTGTGTGGGCCCCCAGGTTCCCAAAGCTGCGAGATCCATCAAGTCAGTGGGCACGAGATCTTGGAAGCCCGCAGGTTTCGGCTCGGCCGCTTAGAAATCAAAAGAATGTCGGAGGAAGCGATCCGGAACGTCGTCCAAGAGCTTTTGGAGGGAGGAGATCTGTCGGAGGATGGCTCCTCCGAGCTGCTCCATTTCCTGATCCAGGGCCTTCGCAGCTCAAAAGTGGCGGTTGTCGAGGCTGCCGCACAGGGGCTGCTCGCTCTTATGCGCAGCGAGGGCAATCGAAGAGTGATCAAAGCTTCGTCGGCTCCTTCTGCTCTCAAGGCACTGCACTTCTTCGAGCGAAAAGAGCTGTCCGCCTTGGCAGAAGAGCTGTCCAAGGAGCTGGGAGACTGTACTCGGGAGCAGAACCACTGGGTCAACTTTGCCTATGGAGAGAGGGAAACTCTGAGCTTAAAACTTTTGCTCAGCGAAGCCAGGGAGGCAGAAATCTTGTCGAGCCATGGCTGGAGGGTGTGGCCCGGGGCGCAATTGCTGACGGCCTGGATGGTGTCTGAACCCAGCTTCCTCGTGGGCCAAAGAGTCCTGGAGGCGCCTACACGGGGACAGGTCGGGAAATGGTCGGCTTTTGGACTCCTCCCCGTAATTGAGGTGGGTGCTGGGCCAGGGCTGTGTGGCCTGGCAGCAGCTGCTCTGGGGGCCAAAGAGGCGACCGCCACGGCTCTTGCTCTCGCCTCCGGGCTTTGGGGCCACTGGAGTCACTGGACCTCTTTCTTGTTTTGAAGGTGGATCTGAGCGATCGCTGCAAGGCTGTTCAGAAGGCGCTGAAGATGAGCGCGGAGGAGCGGACAAATCTGCATCTGTTGATTATACAAGAACGGCATGGCTCGAAGGAGAACGGCTTAACGAATGTGACGGTGAGATCACTCGATTGGGAGGTGTTTCTGTGCGACACTGTATATTCAACGGGGCAGTCCGCTGATTCAGGGCAGCTAAGCTTGCAGGCGCCAGACGCGCTTGATCGCTACGACGTGGCTTTGGCCAGCGAGGCAGACAGAGTGCCAGGCACTGAAGCCAGCAAGCAAGTCTCGTCGCGAGGTGGTCTATCAAAAGCCTGCTGTAGAAGCTTGGACGCAGGGGACGCAGGCAATGCAGGCAGATGTTCTGGTCTTGTTGGCGCGCGAGCTCTGGTCTCCAAGGAAAGGCTGCCGAAGTTGCTGCTTGAAGTCCTGAAGCCGGGAGGCGTCTTCTGCGCCTGCGAGAACGCCGAGCGCTCTCAAGATGGCGTGAGACTCTTGCCACTGTTTTTCCAAGAGATGGAGACCTTGGGATTCTGCCCATTGCACCTTGAGGCGAAGTACTTTGAAGGATGTGATGAAGAGCACACCCTTTTCAAGTTCGAACGTAGCAGATGACACTGCAGGGCCGAACTGCCCTCCTTGCACAGTCGTCCAGCGGCTTTGGAAAGGTGCCACAAAGATTCAGGCCTCCTACATTCAGACTTACCTGAACGTCCTAAGGCTGTCAAAAAGGTGCCCAGCGCATGGTCGCATGTTATGTTATCACTCTGTTACAGTGCGCTTCTGACAGGACGGTTGCAAAACCGCCGTTTCCACTGTTCCATGGTGTACTACGGATCACATTGGCCATGCCCACTAGCAGCGTTAACGTTCATCGCCCCACTTGCCCCACTTGTGTTGATGATTTTGAAGGTGGGGCCTTAGAGTTTTATGCTTTCAGGGTTTAGGGTTTATGGTTTAGGGAGTTAGGGGTGTTTAGGGCTTAGGGTTTTAGGTTTAGGGTTTGAAAATTTTCGGTATCAGGGTTTTTAGGGTTTAGGGTTAGGGAATCTGGGTTACAGCAGGGTGGGCATTCGCTGCAAATGGGGCAACTGGGGCGAGCCCCACTTAGAAGAAGAAAATTCCAGTGGGGCAAGCAGGGCGAGCCCCAACCCGTACCAGCAAGTGGGACAAGCGGGGCAAGTGGCACAAATCAGAAAGTGGTTCCGGTTCCCCTGCGCACTGTAAAGTGATGCAGCACGAAATTAAGACAACACAGTATTCACAGCTTTAATAGAAGAAACGAAGTGAACATGACAGAAGATACTACAATAGACTATACCATAGTATATCATGTCATGCCCAGCACCTGTACTGATCTAAATCTCCTCATGCGAAAGCTTCCAGTAGGGTTGCTATCCGAGCTCAGGCCAGCACGAACTGCAGCATCCCTGCCGCGCTTGCCATGACTGCGATGTGTGCAGATGCGCGATCGACAGATGAACCAGCCGAAGAGCGAACATTTTTTGTGCGGTTGGTGTCGTGTTTAGCTGATGTCTCTGATTGACCGTAGAAGCGTATGGCCGACGCCGCAAGCATGGCAGGTCGGCATGTGCTTGCCTGCCTCCTTTCCGTGGGAGCGACTGTTATATTGTGGACCAGGGCGAGCGAGACAAGGTGCTTGCTGGAGAACGATGAGATTTGTCACCTTGCACACAAGTTGTTGCTGAAGTTTGCACGGGAGATTTGATCGGCCTCACAAGCTTACCTGGATCAGGAGAGGCCGTTTCGTGGAGCACTGGTTTATGTGCTTGGCTCCCAGTTCATTGCTGGCGCGTGCTGCTTGCTTATCCATCGTAGCCCTTGAGATCGATGCTATAGCTGCTATAAAATGCAGACACTTCGCTTTCGTTTTGTCATGGCCTTGTCGCCTGCTATGTGAGGGAGGACGTCACGTAGCCAGTGGCTGCAGCAGTTGCGGTCGCAGTCATTCGGGCAGCCCGAAGCAGCCACAGCCACCGAACATCTTAGTCTCTGGTGCCAGGCTGGACCGGCGCTCCGAGACCCTGGAGGCACAAAAGCACGGTACGTTTGGTAAGGGAGCCCAAAGTAGCTGCAGCTCCAGCTGCAGGCCTTCCTGACAAATCTCCGAAAGCTCAATATGCCACGGCCTCAGACGTGACGGGCCGATTGAAAGCTCACCGCGGAGCGTCCTGGTCTGAGAGGCTCGCTGGATGGGAGTACCCTCTGCTCATCTTCACGGCCGGTGTCCTTCCCGAGCAAGAGAAGGAGAAGATCATCCTGGCCTGGGACACAGTCGCACGTCCCTCGAGTCCCGATCGCTCCCAGATGGAAATCTGAATATTTTGCTCAGGCAAGTGAGAACCGGGTGTGGTTCGTGCAGGAGGCATACATTGCAGGCATAGCAGCATACGCTGATGCACAGGGGAGCGGCTCCTGCTCCTGCTGCCTGCTACTTCACTGCTACAGAGCTACCACTACTGTAGCGCGCTGCCGCTACTGTGCTGCCGCTACGGCTACCGCTGCCGCTGCTGCTAAGGGTACTGCTGCTACTGCTACCGCTGCCGCTTTTGCTACTGCTGCTGCTGCTGATGCTGCTGCTGCTGCTGCTGCTACTGCTACTGCTACTGATTTTGTTACTGCTGCTGCTGCTGCTGCTGCTGCTGCTGGCACGCTTCTTCGCATGCTTCACGCGGGCTGAGACGTCTTGCATGTGTTTCCAGATCATGACCGCGTGTCGGTGCAGGAAACTTCCACAACCAATCAATCAATCGTCATGGGCTTCTCCTGTGCGTCAGGCAGCGGGATGCTGCAGTGGTTTCGCCACACCCACCTTTTCGATCATCCAGGAATTGCAGGCGAGGGGCATCGTTTGAGTACTTACTAAGTGAGAGAGGGTTTTCGCATTGACAGGCCTGGACATCTTGTGGGACGTTACCGATGCGGACATAGTCTTCAAGGAGGCAGATGACATGACTCAGGCATGCGTACAGGGAGTCGAGAACGAATGGCTGTTCAAGATTTGGAATCGGTGAATGCCTTGCGAGACTCTGGTCCATTTCTCGGAGGATCCTCTCCGCAATCTCCATACCGAGAGGGCTCAAGCGGCCTGCAGGCACCAGCATCCTCAGATCCAGAAAAGGCAAGTTGCTCTGTGGCCGTTGCAGGCGCATCGAAGACGTGAGCCCACGCTCAGGCTTGCACCAGACTAGGTCAACAAACGCACGCACACATTCTATGCGTTCGTTGTATATTGAGTTCACCCCCAGACATCTTGAGAGCTTGATTGCAAAAGAACTGGCTTAGTGGCCGGATTGTGCAAGGCCTCCACACTTCGCAGGACGCTGGACGACGTCGGGTGTCTTGTTGCAGTAACGCCTGAAGAATCTTGAAACGGGCAACGGGTCGCCTCTCCACTGCTTGTTCTGCATGCATTTTCAAGGGAAGGAGGTGGAGCTATCTTTTCCTTTTCCCTCAACAGATGCGTACGTAGATTCGTTGTGGGGCCTGCGAGGCTATAAGTCCGAATCCGAAACACCATTGCGCATGAACATCTTCGTGGTCAAAGGCCCCAGGAGAAGTCGATGACTAGTGCTGCCTTTTCGATCTGTGTCGGAGTATGTCGGAGCAGCTTAGAAGCATCAGCCGAGCAACCAAGACCTCGAGAGCTTCGATAGCAAAGCATTTTCCTTAGAGGCTGAGTCCTGGCTAAACTCAAAACTTGAGGAAGCTGGTAGATCAATCCATCGCACTGGGCAAGGGTGAAGGCTTCCCTTGATTCTTGGTCCGCTGTCACGGTCGATGGGCTCGGTTTCTTCCATTGCATTCATCTGCAGGATGCCTTCTTGGGCGACCTCACGGAGCTTTTCCTGCAGCTGAGCCAGGCAGCTTTGCCTTTGCAATGCTTTGCAATGTTCACGGTCAGTTGGTCTGCGCCACGGAAAGGCCACACTGGCTGCTGAAGGTGTCCATGGCGCCGTGAGCGCCTGCATCGTTTGGAAGAGGCCCCAAAAGCCGGACTGACGAGGCCCGCGGAGCACGAGGAAAGCCACTGTCAGGACTTTCATGAGCGAGTCCCTCTTTCGCCAGTACATCCAGTGCCTTGGACACTCCGGCACTCTGAAACTGTCGAGTCTTCACATTGCCAGAAGTGACAGAGAGTGCAGGTTCTTGGAAGATGCTGTCGGTGGAGCTACAGAGGCCGCCCTGCGATTCGATGCCCTGTCGGTGCGGAATTTCGGCATGGAGTTGCTGCATCGACAGGCGGGCTTGCCGGTGGTGATGATTGTTTGGTTGACCCGTCATAAGCAATGCCAAAAATCTGGTGCAGTTGCAAATTTATGTCTTTTTTTCCTGTCGCTGCGCCTGCTCGCAACCTATATCCTCGAGCTAGGTTGTAAGTTGGATCAACATTCGTGTGGCGGCTTTTCGCACCACTGGGCTGGATCCGCTTTGGTTGGAATGCAGATTGCAGAGTTTTCGTTTGGACATCATGGATAGCATCTCTTTCTCACCAATTTTTTAAACAATCCCTAGGACACGTGGGTCGGAAAGCATCGCGATCGCCTGTCTGTGACTCCGGTGAAATGCCACTAGTAGCATGTGGATCACACAATACTGTCATCGCGCCTGGGTTTAGAGTCCAGGTCTTTTTGCGACCATCGAACAACTACTTCATACATGTCCAGGATCCAAAGTACGTCGCCGAAGCATGCTTCTTGAGCCACGAATGCGATCACAATTTCATGTCAAGGGGCAATTCTGGAATCTCCATCCTGCGATCTACGGCAAAATACGCCTGGGGCCTTTTCCGGATCGTGCTGTCGGATCATAAGGAAACGAAGTACTTCCTGAAATTTGATATCGCACTTTGTGAGTATTGGAACCTGCAGCCGTTGCTTCCTTGCCTGCCCAATCGCAATTCGTAGTCGCACCGAAAACTTTTTTTATCTCTCCACATACCTGCCGCCGTGGAACATAAAACTTCCAGAATGGTACGAGAAACACCCGCGTCGCGTAACTTGAAGCTAGATGTTTAGGGCCAAGGGTGCGGAGGCTCAGGGGCTTGTGGTTTCGTGCAAAGGCCGTGAGCATTAGAGTGAACCGGTAGTAGCGAGAGACTTTGGAGCCAACGGCCTGCCAGGTTCGTGGAACTCAGCTACTGCACCTCGGTTTGAGCTTGCAAGCGTTTCTATTATCTTCGGTGCTGTTTTCACTCGGCATAAAGTTAGAGGATGTTAGAGGAAGGACTATTCCAACAGCTTTCCCATGATTTCATTAAGGTTGATGGAATGAAGAGCTTTCAGCCTTTGCTTGCGACGTCACAATGCATCGTGCTTGGAGTAGGTATGGCGATTCCGTAGGGCAGACCTTTGGAGAATCGCTTGGCCTTGGTGGTTTGGCATGCCGCGGCGAAGATATGTGCGAGGACCCCGGCTGCGAAGCACAAGGGAACTCATCGCGGACGGCGTTGTCAGGCAAGGGGGCCAGGCAACGGCTGCGTGCACGGACTTTGGACTGGACGTGACATACGTGACAAGCAGCAAGCGGGGGACATCTGCAATGCGGGACGACCGTCGCGTCTGGTGAATGGGATTCAAGTGGAAGCCGGGGAAACGGACAAGGCCGGCGAGGAAGCTGCTGGGCAGGTGCTTTGACTCATGGCTTGCCTGCGAGAAGGGCCCAGCCGTTTGATTTTCATTCTTTGTTGCTTTTTCACAACTTTTCCACCTGAGCCTGAGCGGTGCAAAGACTCGATTGTGTTTCATTTGGGCCTATACCGCCCGATGTCAGCCACTTGTCACGTCTGAACTGCAGCGGTCTGAAAGCCTCTGGGCTCTGAGCCAGATGCATCACTGTGCATCGATCCATTGCTCGTACGCTGTTGCTTCAAAAAGCTTTAAGCAGCAGGATAACCACCGTGACCCGCCACGCCGCGGTGTTGAACATTTCGAGCACCAAGCAGTCAGCAAATCACACCAGAGCTGGCCCTCACCAGAGGGCTGCAGGCCATGGCAGCTGTCCTTCGGTCCAGCTTGCAGAGGCTTGATTTGGGAGTTGCTGTGCCGGTCCATTTTCTAGCATGGGATCCTCTAGAGTTGTTTGAATGGTATCTCTCGCAGAGAAGGCAAGTTCTGAAAAGAGTCGCGACTGCGGCTACTCCAACGTGTCTGGCATCTCTGAGCGCCTTTGAGCTTGCCACTCCTGTTCTTGCAAAGCTTCTTTCAGGCTGCGAAAAAGTCGCGCCAGTGCTACCTCACGAGGCCCATCTGGGCATGGCGTGCTTATGTCGGAGAATGAACGAACAGAACTGGCCAGGATGTGCTGCCACGGCCCGCGAAAAGAGCAAAAAGACTGAAGCCAGGCAGGTCGTCTGACCTAGGTTTTGAAGATTCCAAGATTGCCCGGTCTGCCGCTGCTTTGAGCAGGTCACCGTTGCTTGAGTTTCAGCTCGATGCACGAGAGGTGCTCTGCTTCTGAACTAGCCCTTTGTAAAAACAAGCGCTCCTTGAATGAAGTGCAGGTCAAGCACATGGCGCCCCATGTTTTGGCGTCAGCCATTGCGAGCGCAGGCGCAGGCCCATCCTCATAGTCCATGGCCTTCGCCATGCCTTCGCCATGCTGGACAGATGAGTTAAGTACATGGGAGTGCACCGTAATTCCCAGGCCGCCATACTTCTCCAACCCTTTGGCGCGCCTACGCTGTGCGGGCCTCCGAAGTTCGGAGGCGATTGACTCTCCGCGATCTGAGGTGCTTGGATGCATCAGTAGAAGAACTCTTGCTTGGTTCCTTACTGAGTCTACTGGGAGACGTTCGAAGATCAAATCCTGTCCCCAGGAGGCTTTTCCAGGGACATGCCGCCGCTGGCAAGAAGGCTGCGACACTTGAGTCAAAAGATTGCAGATTCCTGCAGTTCCAAGTGTCAGCGCGCAGCCAGTCTCGTATCCGTGAAGCCCAAAGTTCCCGACCAAAAGGAGCTTCCCATTGCAGCACCCTGCCTGAATGCACAGGACATTTCCCTTTTTCGGGATCTTCTAGACGATGCGTCATGGAAAGGACTGCATGCAAGCACGAAGCGTTCAAAGCCTGAACCGATTCCAAATCAGTTTTAAAACAAGGACTCTGCACATGGCGATTACTATTCTCGTTTTTGGCTCGTTCAGGAGATCCGCAAGCTTCAGCCAGAGACCTCTGCTTCGTGGCGATTGCCCTGGCTAAACTTAGGCCGTCAAGTTTGATGTGTCGAAAATAGTGTGGAGGGAACATGTCTCCTCTTCTGCGTCCCATCCAACCGAGTCCCCAGGTGCAACGACGACATCTTTGAGGCCGTGACCACCCACTTTGCAGAGAACACCATGGACGACTTAGAAAGCATCGATGTAAGCAGCTTGGCGAACGCTTTTTCCAGAGTCGCCCTCACGCACAAAGTCTGCTGGGCGAACATTTCTGAGCGTCTTCGAGCCGATGCTTCATCTGCGCTGCTTCCGCCTGCAGCTGCCACCATGGCACTGAATGCCTTTGCTGTTGTGAAGCAATGCGACTCCGAGCTTTTCATGTCCGTGGTGGACAGTTCCATCAGGCCGGGAGCATCCCTCGGCGCGTGTCCAGCAGAACTATTACGGGCTAGGGCGGTTACGGCGGCTCGGGCGCGCCTGTGGGGCTTCTTGAATTGCAAACGCCACAGTCTTTTGCTGGGCCAGGCCTTGCATAGCCGACTACACGATCACACAGGCGGCCCTGCTCCTGGATGCCCTTGCTCGTTGCAGCAGCGTGACCCTCGGCTCGAGAGGACCTGGGAAATCTCAGCGTCACTAAAAGTATTGCGAGTGCTTTGCGTTGCGAGAGAGGCTTCGAAGAAAGCCGATCGAGAAATAACTGAGTGCATTCTGCAATCAGTGTGAGTGTGATGACACGCAGAAGTCGTGGTGACGGCACGAAGCACCGCAAGTCGGCGTCCACATCTGGATCCGCAGCTTTCGATTTGTTTGGTGCGCATTCCGGACGATAATCGAGTTCTGCCACAGTTCGGTGCGCGACCCGTCCACCGCAAAAGCCGATTTCGTTCAAAGTAAGGTCCAATACTTTGGGGCAATTGCGGTCTTCAGAGCACTCGATGTGTGTGAAGTCCGATACTAATTATTCTGCCTCTCGGGCTCTGCGAGTCGTGCCGTTATGTAGTGCCTCTAAAGCTCTCAACGTGACTCAAGTCCCAGCGATGCGCGCTATTCCCCCTCTGGGCTTGGCGCTGTGCCGTCGGGCTAACCGCCGGTCTTAGCAGCGGTGTAGGAACGTTCTCGGGACGTGGTACTGGTGCTCCGCGGCCGTGTTTTGCGGGCTGATCATGCTGAAACCCTTGCATGCTCGCCAGCTTGAGGACGGCGCAGTTAGCCCCCGACCTCTTTGGCAGCTTCAAGCGGCTCTGGCTGTCGCAGGGGCACCTTCAGGAGCAGAAGTCCGTGCCTTTGACGGCGTGTAAGTCTGGTATGCTGACAGCACACGCAGGAGCTGGCGGGCCCAGAGGATGCTCGGACTTCGCACAGCTCAGTCTGATCTGGGTGAGAGCATGGATCTAATATTGTTCGTGTGGCACACAGCTGGTTGGGGCCCCGTCACTGAATCACCCCGGTAAGTTGGAGGGACTTCGTCGAGGGTCGGCGTTCTTCATACTTTCGCACTCTGGATCCCACTTACAGTATCGCATCCCGAGATGGACGAGTCTGAGGACCTAGCACACCTGGCGAGCTCTGCTGTGAAGCTTGGCATCGTGCAGGCCGGAGATCCAGGTTCGAGTGCCGCGGATGACTCGTTGTCTTCTGCTCGGTGCACGAGGGTCCAGAAAACTTAGAGAGAGCTGAGGCCTGAAGGCTCGAAAGGCTTTTGAGGGTCTCAGGGTTTATTATCCAATCATCTCCCGTGCTTGACAGGAGGAGGAATTAAACCTAGCGTTGGCTTCTGCTGGCCTTCAGCACGTTGGCCAATTCTCCCCTTCGCAGCTGGCTTTATTTTGCAGCAATCTGGCCCGGCTGCCTTCAGCTGGCCGTGCTGCGTTTCTGGCTGTCGCTGCCCTCCAGGCCCGGCTTTGCAGAGTTGAGGCCTGCCGCCTGCCGCCTGCTATGACCGTGCAAGCGCAGGTGCAGCGGACGTTGCGCTTCAGCTCCTTCGTGGACCTGGGGCTCCTTTCGCAAGCTTTCGGCAGCAGCAGCATCGCGCTCACTCGCGAGGCATCGGAGCTGTACCTGCAAAGGCTCTCCGTCGTTTCCAAAGAGGAGCTTGCGAATCTGGCGCAAGGGCCAGGATCCGGATCCGATCTGGTGAACAGCTTGGCAGCAGCACTGGAACGCGTGGCCGAAGGCTCCCTCCACCTGCTGAGTCCTAGCGTCGATGGGGAGTTGCTCCTTGCATCCATTCGGCCGTTGACTCTGGAACTCTGTGCTCGGAGAGCTGTGCGTCCGCGGACAGCTGCTGCAGTGCTGGGCCAGCATGCCCACTTCTGCGTCCGAGACCAAGAGCTCTTCGAGGCCTTGGAGGATGAAGACCAGAGCTCTTCCGATATCAGTGCAACGCTTGCCGGAAGACTCCTGAGACCTCTTGGTGCTCTTGGACATCCCTCCGAGCACTTTCTGCAGAGCGTCGACAAGAGCTTGTCGATTTGGGGAAAGCGCCACTTGGCCCGCCTTTTTGTTTGTGTCCTGCTGGCAGCAAATGGGCTGTGCAGCCTTGGGTAGCGCTCTTCTCAGGACTTTCAGCCACGATCCAAAGCGATTCTGGTGTCCCAAATGTGGTTTTCGAGCCATGGACCCGTTCAACGAGGTGGGGCCAGGGAAGTGCTGATTGAGAGGGCTGCGTTCAGAAGCCCCTGGCTTGGTTGGAGGGCTTCTACCTTGCTTCCAGGCATTTCAGGCTCGGTGCATGCTATGCCTCAGAAGCTGGAGCTCTGCAAGCGAGGTCACTACCAGCGCTGGCAGCTGACCTTTTTGCAGCAGCTTTGCTTGACTTCGCCTTTCTGTCGGAAGTGTCCGTCACATATCTCTTCTCTGCAGCGAAGACGCAGTGTCAACTGAACTTGCCCGCGGACTCTGCACTTCGAATGAAGTGCGCTGGCGAGATTGCTGCTGCTTCTCAAGTCTGGCTCCAGCACGTCCCGCACTAAGCTATGCGGCTATGCCAACTAGCGCGTGCCACGCTGTGAAGGTGTAAGTAGCACCGTCGCTGTTTCGAGCTCCAGCCGAAAATTAAAGGGCGTCCCCCAGCAGCCGCAGCCAGCGACTGGTATTCCGGAAGAAGGATTCGGACACTTCGAGTGCTTGCTGAACCGTTTTATCCGCGGTTCCGTCCAAGGTCGCGGGCCATCGAGAAGCCTGTTGGCTGGCAGACTGGGCAGAAGAGGCCGCTCTGGAACTGTCAAGACAGGTGCGGAAGATGCGACTGTGCAGGTCTTTTCAACTGGTGGCCCGCAGCATAACCTGGCTCCGCAGCCAAGCTCAGCTTTGCTCCGCTCCGTCTTCGCAGCGCTGCAGAGAGCTCAGGACATCTGCTTGAGCCGAGACATGTATACTCTTACAGACGCCTATGTTGCTTGTCTTCATGGTCGACACAGTTCCGCCAAAAACTAGCCGCAAATTGGCAGACACGGTGCAAAAGGACTTCCCCGTTATGCAACAGTGTAGGAGCCGGGCGATGAGATCCTGGTCGCGTGGCCAATGCATGGCTTTCGTGCAGACCTCGCACTTCGGAGGCGTGGACTCCGGCACCCGAGCGTTTTACAACACAATGCTTTTGGTGTCACAGGCCTGGTGCGACGACGATGGCCATCGAAGTCTGCAGCAAGGAATGCAGCGTGCCCAGACACTTGCACAGCCGAGGAGTGAAGACACAAAAAGTCGTCTGAGGCTTTTATTCTGGGAGCCAGCGGTTACTCGCTCGCTGTGCGATGAAGCATCGGGTGCTCACGGCTGCTCTTGGTGCCCCACCCGTACAGGCAGGGACATAAGCAGAGTCTCCTGTGATGGCATTTGGCGGGTCATTGGTTACCGATGTGTGAAAAGCAGCTCGAAGCTCGTAACTGGAGCATGCGCTTGTGGGTAGAGTTTGGTAGACCTTCTTGATGTTTTGGGGTGTGTGGGGGCCTACTTCGCATTGTATTTACAGCTGCGAGCAGTGTTCATGATGTTGAGTTCCCCGAACTCGCAAGAAGTGTACCTAGCTCGCACTCGGCGCTTTCGAACAGTTGGAAGACTGGGCGGGTGACAGCAGCTCTGCACCCCTGTTCTCAACGCCTGCGAAAGAGAGACAGAAAACTTGAGGCTTTGTCAGGTGCTGTTTGGGGCGCTGCCGCTGTCAGTAGCACCTGCAAACACGGGGCACAACTGCTCGTGTCACCGCTCGGGAAGGTGAGCCATTGGGAGTGGCCATGGCGGCACGACGACCAAGCGAAGTTCCTGAGAAGTCGGTGTGAGAGTGTGTGGAGTCAAGGCACAAAAGATTGCAAAGGCAAACATCTGGTGCTGAAGCCGCTAGTCAGTCCCTGATCACATTTGCCACATCTGCAAGCCTTGCCACATTTTGCGCTGCATGCCAGTTTGATGCTGAGCAGGGTGCATGTGTCCAGTGATGTAGTGTGTTTCAAGCAGCGATGGGAGCCAGAACTACGAAGTCTCACACGCTGTTTCTCGACTCCAGTTCCGATGTGGATGAGGAGGCTAGTCAGGACTCAGCACGCTGCTTTATGGGTGCGGAATATCAACAGATACTGCAGCCGCTGGGCCTGACAACACAGAAAGCTGAACGACGCAGAGACGATTTGCGCCAGCTGGCAATGAGATACGAGGTGGAATGCTTGGGAGCCTCCAGTTACGAAAGACTGCAGGTGCTCCGCGATTGCATGCAGAAAAGGCAGGAACATCAGCAGATCCTGAGAACAGCCATCACAGCGCACGGCGGTCCGACGGCTCGTCTGAATGCCCAAGTAGAGCTGCTGGAAGCGGAACGTCTGATGAAGCAGACGAAGCAGGAACTGGAAGAATCTGGCTTCTGGTGCCTAGTGCCCGCTGATCCAAAAGAAGTGGAGGTGGAACGGCAGATTCGCGACATTCAACGCTGGGAGCGTGCCTTCGACGATTGGGTGCACACGTTGAATGAACTGACCCCGAGGCTTTTCGTTGAAATTGTGACTCTTCTTCGCATCGAATACAACCAGGAGAACTTAAACCGCTTCTTGCGAAGCTTGAGCCTGGAGTTGACTTGGAACAGAGTGGAGGCACGCGTCCAGGAAATGTTCAGCTGGAAGGACCCTAAGAGGCATCTCAGCCCGTGGGATCTCTTCAAGCCTCAGGAGCGCAACTTTTGCGTTATAGGTTGCGAGAACGGAAGGGAACTACACAGGTTTGAGGAGAGCATTAGCCAGAAGAAGTTTCCGGAAGGAGGGGACTGCTGCCAAGTGCTCAGGGAGTTTGCCAGCAAAACGTTTGGTGGGCAGCATGCCTTGATCTTCGAGGCAACTTACAGCATCTCACCGGCAGTGCAGCTCTTTGAGCTTTCAGATATGGATCTCACACTCACGCTCAAGGCGCTTGTAGATGCTGGGCAAGGCAGCCAGTGCTTCAACACGGTCTTGGGCAAAACGATCGTGCGGGAGTCTCTGCGGAGAACTATTGGCTTCCGACTGCTGGACGGCTTTGTGGATGTATTGATAGTGATCTTGTTGGCACATCTGGGATACAAAGTGCAGATCCAGCAGAAGCCCGAAACGAGAACGCTGTGGAGCTTCGGCGCGCTGGGCATTTGGGTCTGTATTGCATGCTTAGGCAGGGTTCTCTCTGGGCTCCGGTTATTTTGGGACTCGGTGCGTCCATGCTCAAGCTTCCTCGCAGCAATCGCGAAGCATCTCACCTTGTGGAATTCCTTGATCACGCTGGCGGAGCTGTTCTCGGTGTATGTGGGCATGCGGTTTCTTAGTTTCCTACCCGACCCGGACTTAGCAGGCTTTGACTTCTTCCAGGCTCATCCTGTAATGATCTCAGCCCTCGTCTTGATACGATGGACATTACTGGCCATTGACTTCTTCCAACTCGAAGAAATCGGTCGCCGCGTGGTTCCCATTGTTCACGCGGTCAGCCGGCCAGCCTCCGTCTACTTCCTTTTCTTCTTGGCACTGATGTTGGCTGGATCTTTTCAGGCCTACAGCGTATTCCCCATAGAGGAGAACATCGGCGGAGCCAACAAGGTGCTAGACACGTTCCTTAAAATCTTCCGCCTCGAAGTTCTGGGTGACTTCGACCTGAACGAGCTGGAGGGAATCAATGACAAATTGACTGGCAAGGTAGAAGCGAGCAATGGGACCATTCATGGCGATGTCGACGCCGACCCGTCTGATTGGAGTGACAAGTACCACCGGGGAGTGAGATTCGAATTCATGGCATTGAGCCTCGGGGTGACAGTCGTGGTGATGAATGTCTACATCGGTTTGCTGGGCAGTCTCTATGATAATGCCACGAAGAGGAAGAATCAGCTGTATGCACATTATCTCGCAAGCTGCTGCTACCGACACCTCTGCTTGAGGCTTCTACTATGGCAGATTTGCTGCTGTGGAGCACCTTGTGCCGCTTGTCACGAAGATGCTGAGGATGAGGGTGCTGGCGCAAGGTTGTATTGGCTGGCGTATGAGAAGGCAGGCGGCCAAGTGTGAAGTGATCACAGCGTCTGAAGCACCTTTGCCTGTGCCCCTCAGCTGGTCCCAATTCAAATCAAGAGCCCTGGCAGGACACCCTGCTGGACGGCAATGACGACTGATCGCAGTTGATTTGGCTAATGACATGCTAATGACGCCCCAGACTTAGGCCCGTGCAAAGACATGTGGGCCACATTGGTTTGTGTCAGCAAAGGTTCTGCAGTTCTGCTCTCGTGCTCTCGGGAAAGTGTATGTGTCATGTCAGACGGCTTTCTTGCTCGGTGCAAAACTTTAGAAGGTTCATTGCGTTGCTCAAGAAGATGAGAACGGGATTGAAGCTGACGTCGACAGCAGCCTCAACTTGCATGTTGCCCCAGTGCCTGCGAATGGCGGATTGAATTGCCGTGTCTTGCGAAGTACATCCAAGGTAGGGCAGGCAAGCAAGATGTAGCATTGCAGTTCATTAATTCGGTTCCGCAGTGCACGTAGCAGTGCTCACAATTGGAGTGTCATGGTGCGGACCGATGAAGCCCGAAGCACACCTCCGCGTGGCAGCGTGGGGCTTAGATCGCACTACCCGATTAGGCCTCGTTTTGGATAGATGAAAGATGATCCGAGCAAAGGTGTGGATCTTGCCCATCTGGACGAGACTGTGGAACCGGTTGCCGTTGCCTCAGTGTTGCATGGGGTTTTCTGCATCAGTCCCTGTACACCGACTTGAAGCAGACCACCTTGTAGTTTGCATGTGGCGCGTTTTGCATTGAGGACTATGCAAAGATGCTGGAAGAAGCTGCAGAAGCTCCAAGTGCCTCAGTCTGTCTGTCTCTGTTGAATCTCAGTTTGCTGTTTGCCTTGACTCCACGAGTCGCTATCTGCGAACATCATGTACTCATTATTGCTGGGAAATACTTGTTCTGACGGGTAATCATGGTAATTCTTCATTTCTACTAATGCGTCTCAGCAGGTCTTCCACCGCTACCCGGAGGCATCACACAGAGCCTCGTACTTAGAAGCTTGACCTGGCGGGGCAAGCATGGCAACACGGTCCAGCCAGCTGAGTAACTTCAGGGTTCAGGGCCAATGAACACAAGTCACGGGTAAACGTTGACAGCTTTTCGGAGGGCAGGATCTCGCAAATTCAAATCTCAGCAGCAGTTAGCCGAAGTGTGTAGCAGATTCCGCTTTGGCCAGAGGTGAGCATGAAGTGCAGATGGCGAACCTGGAGGTGTTGTGGGCTAGTTCGTGCGGTCTGTCGGGATGCGGAACTCTTGTCGCCATGTGACTTGTGCTCTCTACGTGCGTAGGGTTCAAGGCTGTGCCCGCTAACGTCGGGCAGCAGGACATAACAGACACAGAGTTGCTATATTACGTGTCAGAGCTCCAAGTGCCTGCAAGAGACGTTTCAAGACCTTTCAAAGGGACAAGACGGTGCTTGTGGTAGAATGCTTTTTTCTTGCAGGTCCGCTTGCGTCAGCCCATGGCTCAGAGTTCGAGAGCACCATTTGTTTATCTTCCGAGCATCATGCCCTCAGCTTTTTTGCCGCGGTTCCCCAATCATGACCCCTAAACCCTAAACCCTAAACCCTCCCAGCATGGGCTCGATGTGGACCCAGGCACTGTTTGGACCTCATTGGCCCAACTGTTCGGAGAGCAGCTGCGAGGGGCTGAGGGTTATTCTATACTAAGGTATGTATATAATTATATAATAAAAGTACTAATGGTAATAATAACAATAACAATAATAATAATAATAAAAATAATAATCATAGTAATAAAATAGTTCAAGGGATTCTGCGCACCATCTGACCGGAGCTGTGAGGCCTTCGAGCATGACGTGACGCAGGTGCAGGTGCATGTGCACAGCCGCTTGCAGCACGCCGTCTTACATCCCGCATGAACGAACCTCTGCAAGCGAAGGGCTGGAGATGACGTTAAGTACAGGACGACCTCCAGCTGAAGTCGGGACAGATCTCCGATCTAATGTCAGCATCCCCAGCAAGCTCTGCAGAGTGCTTGGTGCCGTGTACCGCTTCAGTGCTAGTCGTGTGTCAGTTGGTCTCCAAACAGAGCATGCAACATCTTAAACGTGCTCTGACTAAGCTGGCATCAATTTTCGACGAGTTTCGTCAGTGTGCGAGTTAGGCTCACCGCGAACAAGGTGGAGCAGCAGGCGCGCCACGGCATTGCACTGAATCAAGCAAGCGTTTGGAGGAGAGGACAGCAGTTGTGGACAGATTCCGTTGTAGAAACCGACCTGGAAACGGAATGCTCGGAGGATGCGTCTGCAGATTTTTTTTTTGCATGCGTAGGTGGCCACCATCGAAAACTTCAGAATCGAGCTTGCAAAGTATGATTCCGAGCGGAAGCGGCGACCTGAGACGTATGCACGGAAGTTTGGAAGATCAGAAGATCAGGCTTGACAGATCTCCGCTCGCCGGCAAGGCAATGGCAAGCGACTGCGACCGACTCCCTGAGCTGCATGAAGCAGGAGCCGTCCCTAGCCGCGGAGCCCCCTGCCCAAATGGCCCCGCTTTGAGCCGTGCTCTGCACTTTAAGTTCTGCAAGTCATGTCGTCGTGGCACTGCATGACATGCCCCTGACTGGGAGAGACAACGTCAAACTGTAGAGCATACTTCTCTTTGTCCCCTACGGTATTCCGGAGGAGAAGAGCAGAAGTAACTAGGTACTCGATGGTACTCGTAGTCTAAGTCCAGACTCACGGTCGGGCATGGCGATGCGTGCAGCTTCAGCCCGAGTCGTCGTGGAGCCGTAACTTGGCATACATTATGCACCACGAGGTTCCGAGCACGCAAGCTTCGTTGCAGTTGTGGCTGGAGATGTCGGGTTCGTCGGTTGAGCTGCGTAGCCGGCAAGCTCTTTGACCCCTTTTTTCACGAGCTGTCGAGGGGCATACAGGGCGCGAGAAGGGACTTCGGCTTTTCATGTTTGCGGTGAACACAAGAAACTTAATCACATAATGCAGCTTTTCCGACCCTGGCCCTTTCTCTTGATGAGGCGGTGCAGTCACGAAGGCTGCGTGGTCTTGAAAGAAGCATGCGCGACATTCCACTCCAACATGCCATGGGCACTGCCTGCTTGTCTGAGAGCTCGCGGACTCCAGCCAGCTCTCTGCGGTGAGCAGGCCTTGTTGTCGGCTTGGAGGGCCGGGAAGGGGCCGCCCTCCAAGAGAGGGAACGAGGTTATGGCCGGAAGTCGGCGGGGTCTGCTCGAGCTGCGCCCACTGGGTGCTTGTGCAGAGTTGGGCGACAAGAAGCGACTGGCCATGTACCTTGAGAGATGTGGTCTCAGCATGTGGGCGCCTCTCACAATCTTCACTCCGCATGACATGTCCAAATATGGCGAGTGCGACAGCTGCGTGCTATGGTTCCTGAAGCATGCTCGCAAAGAGCGGAACGAAGGAGTTTCTGTACACTTGGGGGCCAAAACCTGCCAAAGTGCGTGGCTAGCCGTCGCCCAAGAAGAGCAAGATGACTATGTCGCTCAGCGGGAAGTACCTGCAGTCCTACTGGATGAGGAAGACCGGAAGCTAACATTTCGGATCTATTTGCTATTGGTGGCGCAACACGAATCGTCCTCTGCCATGGCGCTCGTGCGCCGAGAGTTCATTTGCAGATCACACCCGGCAGCATATGATGCAGCCGATCCGGATTCTTCCCGACACGTGCACAGTACTCTTGATGTCTTTAAAGATGTTCAGGGGAGGAGCAGCAAAACGTTTTCTCAATCTGCAGCGGTTTGGCCGGCGATGTTGAGCATGTTCAAGGCCTGAAAGGTCCGAAATGAAACACAGAGAGACCAGGTGTGTATTGTGTTGGCCCTGCGCTTTGGACACTGTTTTTGCTGTCATGCATCGATGTGCAGGCGGTTCTGGAACCTTTCCTGGAAACTTTTGCAGTCGCCAGCGATGCAGGCGGGCACGCCATTCCAGAATAAGAATAACCCACGACACATACTTCAGGGGATGGCGACTCAGATATGCGAATCGGGAAGCCAGATGTCCAATGTGTGTCTAATGCTTTCTCGGTTTGATTGGTCTTTTCCAGGTTCTGTGATGAGCTTCGAGCTTCTGGGAGCCGATGTCCTCTTGGATAAAGAAGGGCAGCCCTGGCTCCTGGAGGTCGGGTTCCGAGTGCTTGTGCTCTCATGGTCGTGGTCTGGCTCCTGCAAAATACGCTCGGGCGCATTCGCGGGCGACTGGGACTTAAGCCGTGGTGCGTTGCTTCATTAGATCCGTCCGCCCGAAGGACCATCTGTCATGCCACAGTGTAGCAAGAATACGCGCCTGAACCGACTTTCAGAGTTGGACATGCCTTATGGCAAACATCGGCAAATTGGCGGCATTAGCCGTGCTGCTCTGCTTCCACCGCCGCCGCCGCCTCCTCGTTCTTCTGCTACCACGACAACAACAACTACTACTACTACCACCATTGCTACTAAACTACTACTACCACTACCACCTACTACTACCTACTGCCTACTGCCACTACTACTACTACTACTACTACTACTACTGCCGACTACTACTACTACTACTACTACTACTACTACTACTGCTACTACTTCTCCTGCTGCTGCTGCTGCTGCTACTGCTACTGCTACTCTGGCGGATGTCCTCGTCGTCGCCACAGCCGTCGTCATCACATGGTCATCACCGCAGTGCCATTTCGTCACGGATCTGGATCGTTTTGGTGGCAGCCAAGAATCAGCCAAGCATTGGTGTAAAGGTTTGCAGTTGCTGATATTCGTATCGACAAAAGAGGAATTCAAGCCATACACCTTGGAACCTATATTGTGGTGAACTTGGCAGCTTCGGCAGGATGTGAGAAACTGTGGCTGTTGATCTGCTGTGGCTTGGACCAATGGTGTTCTCAACTCTGTGTAGCTCAAGCATCCAGCAATTCAGAGCCTGGGGTAGACATCCAGGCGCAGACTGGAACCTGCTACAGGCAACCTACAAACAAATGGCGGGCAATTAGTATTCAAATTCAGAGATTAACATGTGCTTGAGCTGCCTGGAGTCCATTTTCAAACTTGACTCTCAGGAGCACACTTTGCTACCAGACAAGGAAGATGTGTCCGTGCCGGTGTTGGCTAGCATAGCAGATATCAAGACAGCATATTACTCTATGCCTGCTGCCCCACGATGTGCCTTGACCCTCAGCCAAGCAGTGCGTCCCCGCAGTTGCCATGAGTGCCCTTAGACAAACTTAAAACTTGACATGATATCCGAAGCACTTTGGGTGATCTGTCCAGAAAGGACCGTTTCACGAAAGATGTTGGGCCGCAGTCTCCACCTGGTCGGCCAGACGGCGGCACACCGATCTTGATGAAGAGTTCAGTGACAGGAAAGACGCACAGAACAGAAGCGAGCAGTGGATAGGTGTGACTGCCGGATTACGGTTCTGGCTTCGGTAGTCCGGCTACTCGCTTAATACCTGCATGTACAGACAAAATGGCTACAAAGGTACGTCTTCTGTTTCTTCTGTTTCTACGCAAGTGTATATGCATGTGCACACATATGTCAACGTTATTGAACTATGCTGTTATCCTATATATATATATATGTGCATTGAGACTTGAGGAGAACCTGAGATGCTAAGCGGAGCCTGTCAGACATCATGAGTAAGTAAAGGGTGTGAGACCCCTTTCATTAATCACGCCTGTGCTCCATGTTACAACTAGCAGCACTGTTCCTGCGTGGCTCACATGCAGGCGCAGCTCTAGCATGCTCTAACATGACAGCGCCCTTCTTCCATACAGGCTTGTTACAGTCAGCTGGATCAATATCATGCGGGGCTGTTGTTACCAGTAGAGCCCTGTATCTATATACGTTGACCGCAGCCCCCAACATAAATCCGTACCCGCATGCTTTTCATAGCTGTTGGCTGTCCTGTCCGTCGCACGAGCCGCAGGAGACTCGACAGGGCCGAGGAAGGGCAGAGTTTAATGCTTTGGCAGCCCTAAAGAGGAAGACGTGAGTGGCCGCAAGAACCTGCAAGTTAGTACCTTCGTGTGAAGAGCCCATCACCGAAACCAACCTTTGCTTAGTGGGTTCCGGCCACAGTCGCTTCGACTTCGTGGGGCTCAATTGCACAGACTGCCCAGAGAAAAACTTCCTTGAACTCGCGAATCTTGCTGACAAAATGCAGACCAGGGCTTAAGATGTCGCAAAGTTTCGGAATCATTCCAGGGCCTGCAAAAGCAGCAGCAGCAGCAGTAAGTTACAGTCAGTGAGGTTTCGTGTCAGATTTGCCCTTGCTATCCTTCAGAGGCATGCTGTCGAACTGGAAGCTGACAGCAGGGCCATGGTTGTTTATGGGAATTGACTTTGGTGTTCAGGAAGCATAGAAAGTGCATGTGGATTGATTTCAGCAGGAGGAGTGAACGGGTGGTGACCCACAAACAGGTTGGGCGAAGGGGATTCTGGGCCAACTGCCAACCATTCCCGAAGCCTCTCTCTCTTTCTCTCTCTCTCTCTCCCTCTCTCATTCTCTCTCTCTCTCTCTATCTCTCTCTCTCTCTCACTCTCTCTCTCGCTCCCTCCCCCTCTGTCTCTCCCTCCTCTCTCTCTCTCTCTCTCGCCTCCCTCCCTCCCTCCCTCCCT